AGTTAAACAATGTGACTTTTTGAACCTTTTAGCACACAGTAATGAACTCTGGTAGTATCACGTCACTTGTTATAAAAACAGTAGCAATTGGTTCTCTTGTTAACATCCATCTGTTTTTGATCAATGGCTTTTATAGACCCTTCTCCTTTTCATGTTCTGCATGCCAACTATTCCAGCTTTGATCAAAGCCAGTTCAGCGCAGGTTTCCTGAGGAAAGGTCGTCTGAGTTGCTTAGAAAGAGAGAGAGCGATCTGTCCCGCTGGGTGTGCACGAGACTCCTGCATCAGTCCTGTTCAGACGGCATGAAAATCGTCCCGCCTCAGAACTCAACCTCAGCCCTTCTCGTGTGTCCCTCACCGCAGGTTCACTCTTTAATGTGGAGAGACTGGTTTTTGAGCGGTTGTTTCTCATCACAGTGTAATACATGCTTTCACAGTCTAATCAGAGAGCTTTTGGGCTTTGCCAGGAGACGTGTATATCCCGCAGACAAGTTACAGCAGACGAGGAGTCACTCACCTGCACAACATGGCAGGGTCTCTGTGGCGTCTTAAAAAGTTTTAAAATTTGGTAAATCTATTTAGAGAAATTTAAGAGAGAATTAAAAAGTCCTAAATGCTATTTTACAAGGTTTTGTGATTTTTATAAGTTTGGATTGTACCGTTTGGATTTGGATTGTGTAGTTGTATGCTAAAGTTTGCTTGAATTTAATCTGTGAATATTTGGCTGCAGAGTAGTTTATAAAAATCAGTAAAATCCTCCTAGATTTGTCCCATAGATATATACATAAGATATCGCCTGAGCATGCGTCAATAACGCCGCCATATTTGTACAGTGCTCCCAGGACAGAAGTTATTAAACCGCACTTAGTCAACACCAAAGTCAATTCAAGAATGCTGAGTTTTGTGCTGCGTGCGAGTATAGTAATAAGCAAACAAATCATGAAGGCATATCATTTAATAAGTAAGATTTTGTTTTTTTACAGTTGTGTACTCTACAACTGCAAAACATGTTAGTTAGTGCTTCAATACTGAGGCTGAGCACATGGCGGTAGGTTGTTTTTACTCATCTGTAACCGAAGATGATTTATGACATCACCTGTTCTCACAGTAAACCGGTTTTGCAGCATTTTTAAAAGTGCGATTGTCAGTGTTGTGATAGCAATGAGATATTATTATTATTATTATTAATATTTTAAAATTATATACTTTGTGTACCTTAATTTTTGTAAACGTTGCAAAATTAGTTAGACTTTTTTGTTAATTGTTTTTTTAATTGGCCTTTTTTAAATTTAGGTAATTTAATAGTGTAATAATAATAATAATAATAATAACATTTAAGTTGAACTAAGTTTAAAATATTTTTGGGAGATAGAAACGGTTTCAACATTTATTTATAACATTTATAACTTTCATTTATTTATTCATTGATTTATATTTTTAGTTAACTGTAATATTATGTTGTGGTATTTTAATTATTATCTTTGTGATTTAAATTTATACTAGACGTCATTCAGTATTTAGTTACTCCACCCTTGATTTAATGCTCTATGTTTTTTCATTGGAAATATGTGGCTTTTCCATACTTAATTCTGCACAAAAATATTTTTATTGTTAAAAATTCAGTTTCATAATTGGCATGGCCTCAGTCATTTTTGGGGGCCTGTTGGCAAACAGAGCGTGTTGATTCATATTTCTCTTGTATGTGTGGTTAGGCCTTGGATGTTGGATATTGATGTTATGGGTGTGTTTGATTTGTACGGCATGTTTATGCCATTGTAATGTGAGTGGGTTATGGGGGTCTGTGGCTGACGTTGGCTTTATTTCAGAGGGCACAATAAAAGGCATGTCGTTTCCCAGGCAGATTCTGTTACTGGTTTTCCTGATCCATCGCTTCTGATCAACTTTGTTTAGGTTTTTCTAACTAGCATGGACAAAAATGCAAAGTGGTTCTAAGCATACCAGAGGGTACACATGCATACCAGTTAAGTTGAGTGCTAAGTGCTCATTTAGTTGTGCTGTATGTACATTTTTGACTCATTTATAACCTAAAACTACTATAATATGTTATTTAATAGTTATTAATAGTCATTTAAGAAATATGCTATGTTAATAGGTTTATCTGAAAAACAGGCTTGAAGTCAGTTATTCTTTTTTAAATCTGTGCGATCCGTTCGGAATCAGATTAAAGTCAAATACAAATTTTATTCGTCACATACAGAGTCAAAAAATTAAAAATAATAACAATAAGAATCTAAGCTTGGAGAAATAGAAGTTATGTAATAGAAAATAAAAAGGAAATATAAACTATTTTAAGACTTTTGATATGGAGTATGTGGTTGTAGAAAAAAGGTAAAAAGTATAAAAATATAAAAGAGCTATCTTTATAAGCAGAAACATAGACGTGTTTCTAACAAAGTGTCTATGCATAAGAGAGGAAGCAGTGTCTCGTATCCAATGACTGTAAAAAATATGGACGACGCGACAGCCCTTTTTCCCATTGAACGCCTTGAGGGCAAAACGCCTGCTTGACGGGCACAAACTGTCACAAAAGACTGCTGAAATTGGACCCAGACATGCGCAGAAGGATGCTCGTATCCTACAGGAATGACTGTCAGTGTTTTGATCTGTGTGACTCCGCCCCATGCCAGTACACCTAATTACATTTGAAACCCCGGGTTCCCTTGGAGGAGAAATGGTGTATGTCATTTTAATCCTAAAAATGTGACCACGGGATGACAATTAAAGTGAAATGAGATGCCGATTCAGTGTTTATTTTACAGTGTAAAGCTTGATCAGCAGGCACACTTGCTTCTCTAAGTGTCATCAATCTGGCAACCTGTGCTTGTGTCAGATCTGATGATTACAGGCCAGGTGAAAAAAACCCTATCCAATTGGGCTGCACAGTATTGGAAAAACAATTCACTTTGCAATATTTAGTTTTTCTGCGATATACATAAAATAAATATATAAAATATATTTAGATTTATCAGATGCCAGAATATCTCCATTTGTGCAGATTTCATTATTTCAGAATGGATGTGCTGGTTTTAAAGGGGAGAGATTCTGTATAAATTATTATAAACAATATTTGTTATGGGCATACAAATGAGAGAGGAAAAAAGGTGCTTTATCTGCTACATTTTCTGGTAAGTCTTATGGGCAAAAATGTAATGTAAATCGTTACTTCTAGCTACAAATGTTCTTGTTTCCTGTGCCTATATGCTTCAAACTCACTTGATTTCTTTTACAGAAAAAAATAATGCAAATGATAAACTTTAAATCCACAATAGTTAAATTTGCCATTAATCTGTAAGCTCCTGGTCAACTATAACCCATACTTGACATTGAAGATCCTGTGACAAGACTATTGCAGATGTGCACATTGTAATATTCCAACACATTCTCACGGCAATTCCTAACTTTTTGATTTAGTGGCTAATTTGTATGAATTCGAGCGGTCTAATTTGTTCAATTTACTACGATTTACTCATCCCCCAATGACGGTTGGGTTTAGGAGTGGGGTTAGGTTCCACGCCTCCTTTTTAAAATCGTACAATTTCGTACGACTGAACTCACACGAATTCGTACGAATTAGCCCCTAAACTGTCAAAACGTAAAGTACTTGCGTTTTCTCGTGAGATCAGGCTGGATATTCATGCTTAAACGATATATTGAGCAGCTGAACTTGAACTGTAATGTCTAATTCAACCCCCCTGGGTGTCAATCCTACATGTACATCACATTTAAATGGATAGTTTTAAGTAAAAATGTACTTTTACTATTTACTCACCCTCAGTTGGTTCGAAACCTTTATACGTTTTTCTCCCCTGTTGATTAACAAAGAACATATTTTGAAGAAAGCTGAAAACCTGTAGCCATTGGCTTTCACTGTAAGAAAAACAAAATTGCTAAACTAAACTTTAGTTTTTTTATATATATAACTTTGAAAATAGAGATTTTTTAGGCTTAGAGAATACAGTTGTCAAGGAATGTCATTGTAAAAATTTTTTGAGCAATTTAATGTCTTTTATGTCTTTTCCTTGCATAAAATGAAAAGCATAGTAACCCAAACATTAAGTAAATAGACTATTATGTATGACTTGAAATATGTTAAGATCCAAAAGAGTTATGTTGTAATATTTTAAATTGTGCACATCCAACCAGGCTTGATGTTAAAAATCAGTGCTTCTTCTCAAATGTTTTTTTTTTTTTGTTTTTTTCCATGCCAGTTTTTTTATTGCTATTGAAATTTTATATAAATCGCTATTCCTGAGACAAAAAGTGGCAGCAGTGCTGTTTTTTTCTTGTTTGTGCAGATGTGAAAGCTTGTCAGACTTTTAGTTTGTCAGGTGGCAGAGTATGAGTAGTTTGTGTTTGAGAAAATAGCTGAGATGGCTGGGAATTGAACACATGCCTTCCTTTTTTATAGTTACATTTAGCCTGATCCCCTTTAAATAGAACCGCTGGCAACAACCAGGGGATTTTGGGTACTTTCTTGCTCAAATAGCAAATCCAGCCTTAGGAAAAAAAACAACGTTACTAACTTGAAAGCACAGACCCCTTTAAAGCTCAAAGTCTGCTTAAACTCCAGTTATGGAGCGTTGCGTGTTGAGATGCAGTTTTAAGCATTTTAACAATCTCAAAGGAAGAAGTTCTTCAATGAATGCATTGCTGTATCCTCAAGTTTATTACTAGATTGAAAAAAAGAAACATGTAATGGCATTTAGGTCAAGCTGATGTTTCAATGGCTGCACAGAGCAGCAGCCAGATGGCCTGTGCCAGACAATGACCTCTGACCCGGCATATACAGTCAAGTATTCAGAGTGGGTTAAATGTGGCAAGTTTAAAGAAAAAGGCCAGATCCGGACTGAATTTCTGAATGAGTTTATTTATGAAGATGCTGGCTGCAGATTTATAGTCTTCTCCACAGCCTGTTAATGTTATTTGGTTCTTTCTCATCGTGCTAATGAACGCTTTTGCTCTTTGTTTTGTGTTTTTTAGGGTGCCGGGCAGGACAAACTTGGTATTTACATCAAATCTGTTGTCAAAGGAGGTGCAGCAGACATGGTGAGTTTAATTTGGTTTATTTAATAAAGGTTTTTTTTTTCTTTAGGCGTGTAAACATGTTGTAAACCCAATTCATTCGAAATCTCTAACATGTAAAGTACATTGAGCCCAGGGGGTTTGTTTCAGATTGAAACTTACTGGCAAAGGTAGCTGAAAATAATTTAAAATGCTTTAATGTGGTGCTTACATTTTGAATAAAGTGCTTGAGATTGCTTGAAATTATAATTATGCTGCTTTCATAATATTTGATTTGGCTAATATGTTGTAATTAACTGTTTAAATCAAATAAACTATGTTTTTTTTTTTTTTACTGGGATGAAATGAAAAGCAAATGCATGGAGATTAGCACTTCATGGGTCAACATCAATACATTTAAAAATAAATAGCAATTTAAGATGACAGAGGACACTTAAGATTAAGACATTTTAAGATCAATTACATGTAATTGACAACAAATAATAGCAAGTGACTAATTTAATGTTGGGAAAATTCATAATTATTATTATTATTCTCAGAATACTATACTATAGATAACTGTTAGAAATCTATTTCTGAATGTTTTCTTTTAGATACGGAACCATGTTGTGTAGTTGTCATACATATACAGTAATAGTATTATTTGGACTTAACATTACAAATGTTTCCTTGTCATCTTCACAGTCAAATGCATTCCCCTTGTGTTTAATGATTGAACTGGAAACATCCTTCTCGCCCAGTTATGTACACTGGATGCATGATCTGATGCAGTCTATTCAAATAGAAAAGCTAGATATACAGTTTGCAGTAATACTGAAAAATGTGGCAACCATTCCTCTCACATTTAAAAAACGTAAAAAAATAATAATAACAATAATAGTAAAACCTATAACCTATTTTCTCTGCCTCTGGCTTAGTTATAAATGAAGAGCACCGAGAAAATGTGCCCGTTTATTTATTTATTTATTTACATATATTTATTTCTCTTTGTTTAAATTAATTAAAAATATATTTATTTTCTACTGCTGTACCTTTTGCATATTTGTATTTATATATTTTCTATATTGCTGCACAGACTAATATGTGTTGCTTTCATTAATAATGTTATTCTTTACCTTATTGTTATTATGTACTTTAGTTGTTTTGGCCTAAATGTTGTTGTTTTTTTTCACTTTTTTTTTTACAATACAGAACAATAATTTAACAGAAAAAACATGCTAATCATTACATATACATACACATATATCAGTACGCACATACATAATTACCTATATATACACCACCAAACTTGCATGTAAAATAGTTTTTTTTTTTTTTTAAATCTCATAAGATTGCTATATCTCTTCCTATTACAATTCCCTTAAATGGGAATGATGTCTTTACATTTGCTATGCATCAACCATTTTCCCAACTCTTCTTGCAAATATACGTTTTCATCCTCAACATAAATGTCAATTTTCGATTACCTGAATTTCTTTAATAATCTTAAACAACTGCTTACGTTTCAACATTGGGTCTTTAAGCCAGTTCCTTGTTATATAAATATTTAAATATATAAATATTGGTCACCTATGAGGAAAATGTCCTTAATATCTTCCACAAACAAAAAATAATGCAGTCCTAGAAACTCTCTCTAAATATTGTTTTTGTTGCAAGAATAAATAATTGTATTGTTTATTTCAGAGAGGAAGAAAATGTGAACTGATTTAGTTTTGAACTAATTTTAGTTCCAATAGATTGGAACAGTTGATGTGTTGTGATTCTTTGTTTTTAATACTATAACTCTCTGACTAACATGCATCAGTTAAACAGAGTTAAACTTGAACACTGAAACAAATAGCACCAGAGTAGGATCTTTAAGTTTAAAACTAAAGTGCTGAAAAAGTTAGAAAATGCACCTGGAAAGTATTTGAAAAGTGCCAAAATTTGACTTTGAAAAAGGTGTAGACCCTCTAGCCATAGCAAACCACACAGAAAACACTGGCACTTTTTTCATATAAAATAAAACAAAATATGTGGCACAACTTGCCTGTAGTGCTTGATTGCAGAGCTCATGCTAACATCCACATTTCTATGATCCTTTACTTTCTTAACTGCTGTCATTTTGTTTTATTTTATTAATAAAACAAATGTGTGCCACGCATAATTATCTCAAATAAATATCTCAGCAGTATGGTCAGCATTGGGATGTTTTCTAGCAATATATTGCTGCTGAGGTGTTCAAAACAAACATTTCAAGAGTTCACACTTAGATGTTGCTTGATAATAATAGCAGCTTTGGCATGCTATCCCGGGAGAGAACCCTGAGCTCGGAGATGATTGAGCCCAGGGCTCCCGCCTGGTTGATGAGCATGTAAGGGGGAGCAGGAGATCAGGTAGTTCTCGAGAGCTCCCCCTGGTAAATGAGAAAAAGGGGAGATGGGGTGGATGGGGGGTTTCTTTCGGAAACACAGATAAGGGAGTTGTTTTAACCAGGCTATACTTAAAGTGAGTTTGGATTAATCTGATTGGATAACTAATGATTATAGATAAGAGACCAGCTGTGATCAATCATATCATGTGCTCCTCTCAAAATTAGTGTTTGAAAAATTTGATTGAGATTTGGAATTCCTCATACAGTGCTATCAGTGTTTTATCAAGCACTATACCTGAAGATACACGATTGTATTAAACGCATTGTAGCATCTTAATAAAAAAAAGTTTACTCTAATTTAGCCTTTTTGTTTTTAGATTATTTGACTTTGTTTTCTCCAATGTTTTTCTTCAGGATGGGCGTCTGGCTGCTGGAGACCAGTTGCTTAGCGTGGATGGACGTAGTCTTGTCGGCCTCTCGCAGGAGAGGTAATTCAGGAGCATTCAGACGTTTAATAATGATGTCTGTAGAACAGGATTGAATGTAGTTGAAACTGACTTACAGTAAAGCATGCAATATCCGGCTAAATGGAAGAAGATGAGCATCTCAGTTAAATAAACAGCAGGATTGCACGCTGAGAGCGTTTCATTACACTGCACGAGCAAGGACTGTGTTTTAATACGCACAATCAAGGACCAAATTTGAGCATGGAGAGCAATGTATGGCAAAGTTACATTTGGAAAAGGATATTCGGTTTTATCTTGTTACTGTGAGTTTGTAAGAATTTGGCATGATGACTGACAAGGTAGATTTTATGTGTTTGCACAAAATAGACAGTTTAAAAGTTCATTTCTGACACTGATGTCATGATGTATAGTCTTGGATTTAACTTGCAAGCATATTTATTTTCAGTCATTTACGCCGTGGCTTATCTGTGCTTTACAAAGCAGTGAAATGCTTTTCAAAAATTGACTTGCGTTTAAGCATCTTGCGTGTGGTTTTAAGATTCAGTGGACTCAATGAAACTCTTAAATCTGCGGATTTCAATGAAATGAGAAGCATGTGGCTGGAAAGGCTTATGAATGGACGCAACAGAAGTTGCCTTTGGGATTGGTTCCAGTGGTCGTCTTTTTGAAGCATTTGTTTACAGTTAGCTGACGGCTAATCCAAACACGTGTACTATGAGATTAGTCTTTTTAAAGCATCTCTCATGGGATTGCGACATTGTATTGCTAATGCTTTGAACGTTAAATTCATTCATAATAGCCTGCAGTTTTGTGTTTTACTCTAAGATGTCTCTGTCTTGTAGAGCGGCAGAATTGATGACACGAACTGGGTCTGTTGTAACGCTTGAGGTGGCCAAACAAGGAGCCATTTATCACGGTCTGGCCACACTTCTTAACCAGCCATCCCCCATGATGCCTCGCGGTAAGCACAAACTATGGGACAAACACAAATACTGTTTTATTTTAATATTGAGAATGTTGGGTCTAGCAAAAAAAAAAAAAAAATGCCTGCGTGCTAGCATGAGTAAATCCTTAAAGAGGTGTAAACAGTGGCATAGCAGACGGGCATGCAGGCCTCACGCTGCAGTGTTAAAGTTGTCATTTTTTAAAATTGTTTGTTAACCAAATAAATAGATTGTTCAATTTGATTTAATGACCATTAAAAAATAAATACCCATTAAATTCCATACATAAACTATGTTTTAATTAAATAATCCATACATTAACAAAAAACACATTTTAAATAAGAACTACATGACAAAACTGCGCCTCGAAATCCTGTTCTCTTTCTCTCTGTTTAAAGAATACAAGTGAAATATTCACAGGATTAAATAATGTCACATTCCTATCTGTATGGCCAAAAAATAAACGAATATCCCATTGTTTTTACTATTAATGATAAAGTTGTTTATTGTGCTGGATACAATTTCAATTTTAACAAAAACAAACTGTCCAAACATAAAATTTTCAGCACTGAAGGCCAGCACGCATCAGATGGACATTTTAGTCATTGTCAACTTTATTTTAGAAAAATATTTGAAGAAAGGGATGTTATGGGCATTTTTAAAGGTGAAATGCTTATTGGACTCTTTCACAGGCTTTTGATGGGTACACTGTACAAGATTTAATGTCAAAAAGTCAAGACGACAAATATGTTGCTTTAATTTATTTTATTTAGAGTTAATCGGGTTTCAACAAAAAAAGTAAGTCATACAAAGTTTAACTTAACATTTTTAGTCAGTTTGATTGATGTAACTTGAGATGACTAGAAACGTTCATGTGAATCAACTAAAAATGTAGGGCAGCAATAATGTTTGTGCAGCATAGTCAGCAGATCAGTCAAAAACTCTTCTTGATGTCTGTACAAATAATTTTATTAAATAATTTTGTATTATATTACATACTGTCTTTTTCTCTAATTGTTTATTTTGCCATGTCTGTAAAGCACTTTGGTCAACATTCATCAAGTTTGTATTCTTGTAAAAACAAAAAACAATGTGAATTTTTGATATAAATGAAGCTGTGCTAAATCTCTAAGACATGGCACTTGTATGTGCTGTTTTTATTATGTAGTGAGTTGCATTTTTGCAGGGAAACCTACACAGTTTGCTCTACACGCGACTGGCTGGAAATGTGGGGGATCTGGCATCCACAGGAATCCCAGTCGCACACAAAATATTTTGAAAAAGTTACATTAAATTGATGTGAAGTTTATATATTAACTATTTTTGAGAGGATCATGTGTTTATGATTGACCACTGCTGTCCCGCATTAGCAATCACATGATACACCAATCAGATAAATTTGAATGCGTATAAATAGCCAGATCCACCCTCCCATCCATCCCTACTCCTTCTCCCCTTTCTTAACTAAATAGGGGGGGAGCTCTCGTGACCTACCTGAGCTCGGACTCCCCTCTCACTCAATGAAACGGGAGGGAACCCTGGGTTTGAGGATCTTCTGAGCTCAGGGCTCTCTCTCCCACTCTTACTTATAAATCATCAGCTAAGTGTGAACTTGTGAAATGTTTTCGACTCGTGTCTGGTAGTGTTTTTGATTTGGTGAAGTGTAGGAAATTATGAAAATTGGCAATTTCTACAGAGAGTGTCTACAGAGAGTGTCAGACTGATTTTGTTGGATTTCTCTCCTTCATCCGTGCAGCGTCAGACCGTGGACGTGGCGACAAAGGAAAGCTGAGACCAAAGAGTGAGGGCTTTGAGCTCTACAACAACTCTGTACAGAACGGCTCACCTGAGAGCCCACAGGGCACGTGGGACACCTATCCTGAACCAAAGAAAGAGGACAGGTTGTTGAAGAACCGAGCAGACCATCGATCCAGCCCAAATGTGGCCAGTAAGTTTGCCTTTTGTCCTTTTTTTGTCAGTAGCTATGTTTGCAACTAGAATATTTCATCAAATATTTGTGAAAAAAGCAGCGTTTTCATCCAAAGAGAACAAAATCGTCACTTCCTGATAAACTGGCACCAAAAAAAAAAGTATTTTGCTGCAGTTGATTGGTCCTGCAGTTTGTTTAGATGCTTTTGGTTTATTTTTGTGTTCATATCTTAGTGAAACTATTTCAACTGTTGCTTGAAAGCGGAATATAGGACTAGTCTTTTCAGCAGTTAGGGTCAACTTTTTTGGAGTGCACCAAGGTTTGGATAACAGCACTCGCATATATTAAAATGAGCTGCTTTACCAGAACGTTTTTTATTTAATCAAACCTTCCGTCATTTTTGGTGAAAGTTACTTTTCAAAGCAAAGTATTACAGTATTATACAATATTGCATTACTTCTGAAAAGAATAAGTCACTAAATGTGGTAATTATTTCATTATTTTTTTGATATGGAAAGTAATTTATTTTGTTACTTTTGCATTCTTTTTTTTTTATTCGAACTGACCTAATAATGCTTGAAACAATATAAATAAAACAACAATAAAAAATAAACAAATAGAAAAATATATATGAGTTTCACATCAAACGGTCTGAATACTAATCAACCATGAGATATTTCAGTTGTTTTTAATTAATCTGCAAAAATGTCAATAATTCTGTGCTTTTTTGTCAATAGGGGGTGCTGTGTGTACATTAAGGAAAAAATGAACTTAAATGAGTTTAGCAACTGGCTGCAATAGAACAAAGAGTTAAAAATTTAAGAGGGTGAATACTTTTTGTTACCACTATACACTACCTGACAAAAGTCTTGTTGTTGATCCCACTTATGAGAGCAACAAATCATAACTTGACTTCTAGTTGATCCTTTAGAAAGGTGGCAGAAGATAGATGTTTCCCATGAATCATCTGTTGAACTGCATCCTAATCATCACAAAAACTGAAGAAGACCTATTGGAACCTGCATGGAGCCAAGATTCTCACAGAAATCAGTCAAGTTTAGTGAAGGAAAAATCATGGTTTGGGGTTACAATCAGTTAATCTGCAGAGCGGATGACAACATCAACAGCCTTGAGGTATCAAGACATTTTTGCTGCCCGTTACATTATAAATGTATTCTTCAGCAGGATAGCACTTTTCATACTTCAGCCTCTACATCAAAATTCCTGAAAGCAAAGAAGGTCAAGGTGCTCCAGGATTGGCCAGCCGAGTCGCCAGAAATAAACCTGCAAGAACAGTTTCTTTGCCATTCCAGATGACTTTATTAATAAGTTATTCGAGTCATTGCAGAGATGTATGGATGCAGTTGTCCAAGCTCATGGAGTCTAACACAATATTCCTTTTTTCCCCACTGCAGCATGACTTTATATTCTATACTTTACATTATTTCTGTTATATGACAAGACTTTTGCCCAAGCAAAGTCAGGCCTTACTGTCCTAATTAAATAATTAATAATCAAGGCATAATCATATTTGATTTAGGTAAAATAATCGTAATCTAGAGGCCTTTGCCTTTCATATAAGCCACTTCTGATACCAAATGATCAACTAGAAGTCAAGTTATTATTTGTTGTTGTTAAAACTTGCATAGACGACAAGACTTTTGTCAGGTAGTGTATATATATATATATATAAACTCTTTTCTTAAGTAAAGCCATTTTACAATTAAAAAAAAGTTTTTTTTTAATAAAAAATTACGCGCATATCAGAAAATTAAATTCAACAAACGTGTAAAGGCTTTTGTAGACTTGAGATGCTCTTTGGGAGTGCAGATGCTGGTTTTAGGGGAAGTACTGAAACAGTTTTATGATGGAGTTTGGCTTAGGGACTTTAGAATGACCAAAGCAACATATCAGATGTTGTGTAATGTGGTCATTCCATTGGTTTGTCAATTAATGCTGTGCAATTAAACCCCAGATCTGATACTAAAAAGCAGATTGCCTATGTGCTATATAAATTACATGTGTGCGTTTTTTTTAAACAAAATCATGTGACTTTAAACTCAGTAAATATGTTTCCGTTGTAATTAATGCACATCTTTTTTTCTTATTGGATAATAACTTTGTCCTACTCAGTTGTGAGCATGCATGCTTTTATTTGAATATTCAAAGTTTATGCAAATGTTGGACTACCATTAGGCTTTTTTTATTCGATTTGAACAGGTGAATTGAAAAACAGCTTCTCTTGCTAATTTGTGTCGTTCCATCAACATTTCCATTTCACCTTATAGATCAGGCTCAGAGTCCAGGCGGGAAGCCTGTTTATCCGGGAGCTCCAGGAAAGATCACTTCGGTCTCGACGGGTAACCTCTGCCCTGATGTGAGTACACACTATCATTGGCACCTCTCAGATGAATGTTGCACATGTACGCTGAAGGTCTCATTAACTAGTGAATTGAGCATTTTCAGCACTGCTGTTTATCATAGCCACACTGCTATTGAATCTACAGTGTGACTTGTGCTCTTAAGCTGATTACCCAACTCAATCATTTGTTATCTTTAGTACATCAAAAGCATCAAGCGAAAAGTACAATTAAAAAAAATCCTGAACAAGAGCTACAGTTTGTTGTAATGTTACAGTTTTTTTTTTTTTTGTAAAAGCTATGATTCAGCTGAAACTTGTATGTAATTAGTTGTATAAGTTGCTTCTTTTCAGTAAATCAAAACCACACTGTGGTAAATGATTTCCAATCAAAGAACTACAATGTGCATGTTCATTTAATGAATTAGACACATAAAGGAATAGTAAAGAGTCAAAGTCAAGTTACTAAGAAATGTGCATTAAAGTTGTTTAAAATACACTCAAATAATTTTGCTGATTGTTCAAACTACTTACACTCACCGGCCTCTTTATTAGGTACACCTATCTAACTGCTTGTTATCGCAAGTATCTAATCAGCCAATCACCTAAAAGCAACTCAATGTATTTAGGCATGTAGACATGGTCAAGGCGATTGCTGCAGTTCAAACTGAGCATCAGAATGGGGAAGAAAGGTGATTTAAGTGACTTTGAACATGACATGGTTGTTGGTGCCAGGCGGTCTGGTCTTAGTATTTTAGAAACTGCTGATCTACTTGGATTTTCATACACAACCATCTCAAGGGTTTGCCGAGAATGGTCCGAAAAAGAGAAAATATCCAGTGAGCGGCAGTTCTGTGGGCACAAATGCCTTGTTGATGTCAGAGGAGAATGGCCAGCATGTTTGAGCTGATAGAAAGGCAACAATAACTAGCATCTCTAAATGCACAACACGTCCTACCTTGAGGCAGATGGGCTACAGCAGCAGAAGACCACACTGTTTGCCACTCCTATCAGCTAAGAACAGGAAACTGAGGCTACAATTCACACAGGCTCACCAAAATTAGACAATAGAAGATTGGAAAAAATGTTGCCTAGTCTGAGAATTTCTGCTGCGACATTCGGATGGTAGGGTCAGAATTTGGCATCAACAACATAAAAGCAAGGATCCATCCTGCCTTGTATCAATGGTTCAGGTTGATGGTGGTGGTGTAATGGTGTGGGGGATATTTTCTTGGCACACTTTGGGCCCATTAGTACCAATTGTGCATCATGTCAACGCCACAGCCTACTAAATATTGTTGCTGACCAGGTCCATCCAGCAGTATAACTAGCCATGTCATAAAGCGTGAATCATCTCAGACTGCTTTCTTGAACATGACAATGAGTTCACTGTACTGGCCTCCACAGTCACCAGTTTCAATCCAACAGAGCACTTTTGTAATGTGGTGGAGCAGGAGGTTCACATTATGGATGTGCAGCCGACAAATCTGCAGCAACTGCATGATGCTATCATGTCAATATGGAACAAAATCTCTGAGGAATATTTCCAGTACCTTGTTGAATCTATGCCACTAAGGATAAAGGCAAAAGTGCGTCTAACCCGGTGCTAGTAAGGTGTACCTAATAAAGTGGCCAGTGAGTTTATTTTAGATGAGATGAAACAACAAAATTATTGATCTTTTTTTCAGAACAACTTAATTGTTTTTACAAGTGTAAGTGGATTGAACATTTAACAATTAACTAACAATTACGTTAGTTTTGCATTGTCTTGTGTTGGGACAGCATAAAGGAATTGTTTGAAACCCAGCATTTTTTACAGTTTAACAGCATATTTGATGGCGAATAATTAATCAAGAAATTGATTCGGATAGAAAATTATTCTCCTACAACAAAGGAAGTAAAATAGCTACCCTTGACTTTTGAAAACTCTGTTAACTGGCTTAAATAAATTGCAGTGAACCTTTTGAAGTAAACTGAAAGTGAATCCTGGTGTTTTGTCACACCACTCAATTCCATGGAAATAAAACGACTCATTACTAAAGCATTCAAACTATTTTATAAAGCATCTAAAATATGTAAAAATAATTTGTGGTGTCTTTTACACACATAAGCGCATAAGAAGAGTTAATGCCAAAAGTTGTGTTTTCACATTTTGTAATTTGGTAGTAGTCGTCTTCATGTGAAGTCTCTTGTGGTTTTAATCAAATCACTATAGTCTCTCAAATCTAAACACTCACCAGAACTTGTGTTTAACTTTGTCTTTGAAACCACAGTCTAATAGAAACCTGATTCATGAGCGTTTGTTGTGTTCTTGGTCTAATTAATCCTAATCACATCCATAAGCACTAACTGATTGTGTAATCACCCTTTGATTTACATTGCTCTGATCTATAACCAATGATAATACACTGACTGAAGAACAAACGAGACTGTCACAGCCTCGGCACCACTGAAAAACTTTAAATAGGGTTAATCCAAACAAACCAAATATCCAATTTAAATGCTAAAACATACGAGAAGGAACGTTCTTTTATCACATATGGTAATGTGAGGTTAAGAAGACAATCTGGCGAAAAGATCTGATCATGATGAAGAGGAACGAAGCCAGGAGCACAAACTTCAGCGGTCATCGGAATTGGAGATAATTAGTGCCATCTCCAATTCCGATGACCGCTGAAGTTTGTGCTCCTGGCTTCGTTCCTCTTCATCATGATCAGATTATCACTTTAAAATGATTGACATTTATATAATTCTCGCAAATTTTATTGGTAGTACATGGGTTTATTTATGGATCATTGGGTCAAATATTGCTCAACTGTATTGCATTGGAAATAATAGCTGATACTTTGATGCTTGAAAGGGATAATATAACATTTGTGAATGAATACTGCGTGAGACATATCAATAATGAAACAATACAGTGTTAAGTTTGTGCAGTCTTTAATCAAACGGAGAAAGAAATGCGAATGATCAATCATAAGAAAAGATTATACTGAACTAGCGAAAATAAAACGCTAGACAAACCAAAGAAATGAACATATCAAAACAATCCTTAAAGCTAACCTCTAAACTAATGACAAATATAAATCAAAATCAGGGTGGCATGGTGGCTCAGTGGTTAGCACTGGGGTGTTTCCCAGTAGTGGGTTGCATCTTGAAGGGCATCCGCTTTGTTAAACATATGCTGGATAAGTTGGCGGTTCATTCCGCTGTGTCAACCCCTGATAAATAAGGGACTAAGCCGAAGGAAAATTAATGAACTCGAAGTCTTGCGTTTAAGACAATTGACCTAAACTAATAATGCTAAAGAAACGCAGACTATTCTGATTCCCAAAACAAGACAAATAGCAAAATAACAAATATTTACATAAATAAAATGGTCAGAAGTGCAACTTCTGTATGGAGTTAGTTAAAATATCTACAGTCAACATTTGAAGTGGGTCAAAACACTATTAAAGTTGTCCTAAAACCTAAATGTATAGTCAGTGGTGTTGCTTGACACTGGGGCATAGATTTCCCCATTCAATTAATGGAAATAGATATACTAAATAATTTTAGTAAAATATTTATTTTTTTAGTAAAATATTAGGATTATTATTATTATTATAGTTATTTTTCTGAATAAATAATAGAAATCAATCCTAAATCTAACTGGGAACAAATGTAAAGGTCCAACTGGTGTGATATGCCAAGATATTTGAAGATCTCTTTTGCATATCATGGGAAATCATAATGTCTTCTTTCATCTGTATGCTGATGATGTTCAGATTTATCTCCCTATCGCTTCAGACTCTTCAGGCACACTAAAATCTCTACACAGATGTTTAGTTGATATCAAATTTAGGCTGTCACAGAACTTTCTTTCTCTGAATGAAGACAAAATGGAGTGTATTGTTTGGCAATTCAAACCTGCCTAGTGAGTTGCTAAAATGACTTGCTAAATACGAGCCATTTCTGAGCCAGCATGACCTAGAGAAAGCCATTCATGCCCTTATCAGCTCTCATCAGGACTATTGCAATGCATCTTATGTTGGAATTTACCAAACCTTACTTCATCAGTTACAACTGGTGCAAAATGCTGCTGCTCGCATGCTGATGAATTGTTGGAAATGTGAGCACGTCACACCTGTCCTTTACTCTCTTCACTGGCTTCCTGGTAAATTCAGAATTGCTTGTTTTTAGTGCAGTTATAAGTTTTGTGCCTTCATATTTATGTGAGATTTTAAAGCTTCTTAAACCTAACAGGGTCATACGATCAGCAGACCATTTAAAACGTAAAAATTAATTATTACTTAGACTTGCTTTTGATATTCATCAGTGCAAAGTGTTTTTTATTGTTTTATTGACTCTCTTGTTTAGATTGTGTTCTTACTATCTTATGTGTTTTAATGTGTAATTGTGTTTTAATGCTGTAAAGCACTTTGGGCAGCCCCCTGGTTTTAATAAGGTGCTATATAAATAAAGTTGATTTATTGATATTGATATTCATTTTTTAAGCTAGTTTGACAGAACACAGCTTGACAGAAATTACAGAAGTCAGCTTGTTTATGATTTATATAATATCACAAACATTGATCCGGTTGTTGCATAGAAAAAAAAATTGCATTACCATATCTTATAAAATACACTGACATATAAAGTAAATTGGAACTCAAAGCTTTTACTGGGGCCCCTGTGTATACCCATTCTTGTCTCTGGACAACCTTTTTGATCCACTTCAAATTTTGACAGCCTCTATGTATAAAATTTGTTTTATTTTTATTTGCTTTTGTCTCTGTTTCATTTCTTTTCTGAATATATATTGGCTTTTAAGAAGCTGTCTAATCTGTCAATACCCTATTTTTCCCACAGGAGGAGCCCTCTCCACCCCGTCCAGAGGCCTATCCCATCCCCACTCAGACTTACCCTAGGGAATACTTCACCTTCCCAGCCTCCAAATCTCAGGACAGGATGGGCCCTGGCCAGCCCTGGCAAAACAACGAACAAGAGCCTCTTCCCCCTATGGATAACCACTCCAACAACAGCATGGTTATGCAGGTTAGCCTTTTTAGGAATTGAATGCATGGTATCCAGGGGCCACAGACAGTCATTGTGGAACACACACAGCTTTTGTCAAACTATAGTACTGTGTAGTTAATTTCACTTTATGGTAGTTACTTATTAATTTAGCTTTAAAATATGTTTATGTTTATTTATTTGGTTTTAAGTTATTTATTTATTCATTTTATTATTTATTTTATCTTACATTGTTAAAATTCACACTGCTGTTAATAAGTTTGGGTTTTATTTATTTATTAAAATAAAAAAGATATTAACACTGTTATTTAGATGCTAAAAAGTGTCTGTAAAAACATTTCTAATGTAACGTAAAGGCTCTATTACAATAATTTTTTATGTAAATCATTATTAATAATAATTATTTCTTATTATTCTTATGATTATTAATAATAATGATTTCTGAAGGATTGTGTGACAAAAAAAGGAGTGCGAATGAAAGCTTTGTGACTTTTTTTCCCCCAATGCAATTAAAAAGTATAGTGACCCCAAACCTAAAAAAAAAAGCTATTTACAAGTTTCAGTTATTTGATTTATTTTCATTTGATTTAATTTCATATTTAAAAAATAAAAATAAACACTGCAATGTCTGGTCAGTTTTTAGAGGAAAAAAATGTTAAAGGGTTTTTAAAAGTTTTTCCAAAATTCATTGTTTATTAAATGTGTTTATTTTAAATGTTGCAAAAAATCCTATATAGTCAATATTTGATCTTATGAACTTATTTTTCCACAAAACAAATTTTAAGTCTGATATATTATGCTTTTTACCATTTTGAGCAGCATGTATTATATTTTTACACAAATATGAGAAATAACTTTCTTCTGTCTGTGTCATTGTGCCATGTTAGTCGGTGGCGTGCTCTCAGGAGGAGCTGTATGAAATGCTAGGCAAAATGTGTTATTTGTTTAATGTGTTTATTTTAAATGTTGCTACTTTAGCTTGCAAAGTAATTCCTATATAGTCAACATTAAATCTTATGAATACATTTTTCCACAAAACTACTTTTAAGCCTTATATATTATGCTTTTCACATTTTGAGCAGCATATATTAAACTTTTTGCACAAATATGTGAAATAATTCACTTCTGTCTGTGTCAATGTGCCTTGTCAATATTTGACCTTCTATATTTTTCCACAAAGCAGATATTAAGGCTCTCATATAATCCTTTTAAACATTTTGAGCAGCATATATTATATTTTTGCACAAATATGATCATTAACTCCCTTCTGTCTGTGTGATTGTTCTCTGTTAGCGGGTGGCGCGATCTCAGGAGGAGCTGTGTGACATGCCGGGCGGGTACCCAGGTGAACGTCTGCGCCAGGAAGATCTAATGCTCCTCCAGCAGCAGCAGCAGCGTGAAGCTGAGTACCAGCGAGGTGTTGGAGAACACTGGAACCACCAGGTGTCTTCCTCAGTGGAGTCCAGCACCTCCAGCCAAGAGCACCTCAACTTCTCCTCATCCTCTGGCTCCAGGACCCAGGGCAACCACAAGAGTGGCCCAGGCCGCTGGAAGACCCCACTTGCACCTCATTCCGGCCCTGTCTCCCAACCCTCCCGTTCAGACCTTCCTCCACCTCCACCTCCTCCACCAGCACACTACGATTTTGAGCCGCAAACCGACCTGCCGCTTCCACCGCCACCTTCAGCTACACAACAACAGCAGCAGGCTGCAGCCGACCGCAAGAAACGTGAAGACCAACAGCGCTGGTATGAGAAGGAAAAAGCTCGTCTTGAAGAGGAGCGAGAGAGGAAGAGACGAGATCAGGAAAGGAAATTGGTGCAAATCCGAAACCCTTCGGTTTCTGGTCCAGTTATGCACAATAACCAGCATGGCCCGGTGCCACCATCTCCACAAATGCCTCCCATGACACTTCCCCAATCATACCTTCCTCCAGTCCAACAACCTCCGCCACCACAACCGGCTCGACCCGATAAACTCTCCAGTCTTCCTCGCCAGCCTCCGCAAGACACCGTAATCCGGGACCTCCTGCCGCAGCAGCAGCCGCGCACCATCGAGAGACGCGACCTGCAGTACATCACCATCAGCAAGGAGGAGTTATCGGCCAGCGACAGCCTGTCACCCGACCCCTGGAAGAGGGACGCCCGGGAAAAACTGGAGAAGCAGCAGCAGCTTCACATCGTTGACCTGCTGGACAAGGAGATCCAGGAGCTGCAGGCTAAACCCGAGCGCACGGCCGAGGACAACGACCGCCTGCGCAAACTCATGCTGGAGTGGCAGTTCCAGAAGAGACTGCAGGAGTCCAAGCAGAACGAGGAGGACGAGGAGGAGGAAGACGATGAAGACGTGGACACCACGCTCATCATGCAGAGACTGGAGGCCGAGAAGAGAGCACGGGTAAGTTGACATAGGAAATAAGATGTGTGGATGTTAGGAGTTCATATGAAATCTGACTGACATGATTGCTGGGTTAGTGTCAGTTGCTGGTCATTTTATGTGTTGTTTATCTCAGGGTGTGTTCATCTAAAGATTATTCAAATGAAACCCATGATTAGCTGTTAATCAAATGTTGTGAAGGTAGAAATTGTGGGTTAGTCTAACCAAAATGGAAGATTCAGTTATTAATTACTCATTCTAGAGTTGTTCCAGTCCCCTAAGACTTGCGTTCATCTTTGAAACCTGAATTAAGATATTTTAGATGATATCCTGGAGCTCTCTCGCATCCTCCATAGATGTTCAAAGTTGAGAAAAGGAAGCAAGTATTTGTCAAAAAATTCCATGTGACTTCAGTTTTTCAGCTGTAATCATATGAGTACAATAGATTTTTTGTGCACAAAAGTGTTCATGTTGATTTACATGATTATAGCAGAACCAGTAATGTCACGTGGACTGTTTTGACAATGTTTTTGTTTCCTTTTCTGGACTTCTGCAGACATCTCAGGACCGTTGTTGTATAAGGAGGATCAGAGAGCTCTTTTTAAATATCTTAATTTGTGTTCTAAAGATAAACAAAGCTCTTGGGATTGGAACAACAAGAGCAATTAAAAAATTTGAAGTTAAAGAGATGTTTAATGCTTTAGTTGAGGTTAAATTATATAGAGCTGATTAGTATAACATTTTTCAGGCCTGGATACATTTAAGAAATGTAATAAATCTTTTTTTAAAAATTGGAAATGTTTTAATTTATATTGTTGTAGTTATGTTGATAAAATCAGCTGTTGTGTTTAAAAATATTATCTCTTGGTCACGGAGGATTGGAAATATCTAGAAAAATAATAGAAATTCTTTGGTAAAAATGTTAGAAACACTAAATAAAGATTATGCAGAGGAAAAAAAGGCTTTCTTAGGACTGCAAACAGACGTTATTCAGCATAAAAAGTAATTGAGGAGAAAATAATATGCATTTAATCTTTATTCTGGCAAAACTGAGTTTTTAACAAATTTATTCAGAACATGCTTTGTTATGAAATGCATCACATTACTAATGCTTTAACTTGATACTTCGTGTTAGCCTAATAAATGGTTTTGCATTATATTTTTCTACTGCTGCTTGTGCAGAATATTGAAGATTAATGTGTTTTTACTGCTTTAGAAAAAAAGCTTGTGCTGCTCGAGTACATGTTTTCTTATTTCTGCAAGGCTTAATCTTTTGGTTATGCGGCTCTGCAATGCTGTTTGAAGTTGAGGTTTCTGTATGTTCATAGTCTTTCATTCACAGTGAACAGCAGGACCAACTTGCGATGAAGCACTAACCTGGGATTCCCTGCGCGATGCTTTAGTCTCGGCTGTTCTAATGATTGTTTTGCCATGTGCACCTGCAACATGCCTATGTCATTGCTTTTCCATGCTGCACTGCTGATCTATATATACGCTGCACTGACGGAGGGGAGAAGCAGGGCTTTTGGATGCTAAGCACTGGACACCATACCACTGCTTGCACCAGCATCAGCCTGCCCTTTCAGATCAGTACATCTCTTCTGATCTCATCTGCCATTCAAATCTGAGACTCGTTTGCTTTACAGCGACAGCATTATTTCTGACCTTGGCTAACCAACCATTTATGTAGCATCATTTAGAAACGTTTGAAATGCACTAATAATTCCTTAGTTCATTACTTGCATTAAATAAATTTAAAAAACTAAGACAAGGAAATGTTAAGGTAATTAAAATTGAATAAAAAAAAAATTATTTATATATATATATATATATATATATATATATATATATATATATATTTGAATTGTTAAAGAAATACTAAGTAATAAAAAAATTTAATCCTTGAATTAGGTAATTAGATAAAATTAATTGACTTATTGCCAATAGAATAAGACACAAAATTAAGGATCTATAAATAAGAATATACAGTTGAAGTCATAATTATACCCCCTCCTGTGATTTATCTATTTATTTTACTTTTCAAATATTTCCCAAATGATGATTTACAGAGCAAGGAATTTTTCACAATATTTCCAATAATATTTTTCTTCTGGAGAAAGTCTTAATTGTTTTATTTTGGCTAGAATAAAAGTCATTTTTATTTTTTAAACAACTTTAAGTTGAAGATTATTAGCCATCTTAAGCAATATATATTTTTTGTTTGTCTACACTACAAACTATTATTATACAATGAGTTGTCTAATTACCCTACATGGCTCAACAATAAGGACTGTAACAAAATGGGTCAGCGTGTGAGATGCTTAAGACAATAGCCAAGATTGGCAAGTGTTGCCTTGTCACTAAAGTTTAATTTGCCTGCGACTATTGTCAATGGGCTGTATGCACACAGACTAAATTCAGTCCGCCAGTCTCAGGGCTTCCGGTTAATTGTCATCCGATCAAATTCGCTGCGTTTAAGATCTGATTTCTTTAAAAAACTGCAATCTTCACTACCTGGCTGAGAGACAATATAAAGTGGGTGTCAGACCAAACAAGAAGTACTGCATTATAATACATTTTTTTTACTTCATCTGTTTAAAATATGGAAATAAATTTTACCCCAGTATTTGCAATGGAATATCTGCCATATGACAGCAAATGTGTTTAAACAGTCTTTCAGCTTTTTTTTTAAGCTATATCAACAAAATTGGTGCGTATGTCTATATAACTGAATAGATTTGAATTAAATTAAAATATTGACGCTTTAAAAGAAACCTTATGAAATTGAAAATAGTCACATAAAGCTTTCACCAGAGGTTCATCATTGGCTAAAAAGCACTAGCTGTGAATATAATCCATTGCACCCAAATAAAGTCTTAGAATCAAAAAACAGTTTGTGCTTTTAAGCCTTTAAATGCTGCCTTTTCTGTGATGTCGTAAACAAGCTTTTCAATTCCTCTTCTGTGATTGGATGCTGTGAGCATGTTAATTTTTTTATGTAACCTGGTGACAACCAGTACAGCGAAGAGGCGGTTACATCAAATTATGAGGTTAAAAGAAAATGTCTAACGTCTTGGAAGCAGACATTTACATGGGGGAAATGAAGATATGTTTTCCACAGTTAGCTGTCAGTTTGGCATGTCAGCCACCTTTTGTTACATAATTTAGAACCGCAATACAATACCTGCACATTTTCCATACCGCTCTTTTTGTTTGCATAATACTTTGAATTTTGCTCATTATACATTATTAACATTTTAAAAATATCACATTTTTTACATTTTCTGACATTGTTTGACTCATTAATTAAAATAAATTATTAAAATATGTGGCTAAGAAATTGCTATTAAATTTGTTTTTGTTTTGTTTGTGGGGCCAGTGAAGATTTTGGCAGGGCAAGTCAAAATATTAACCACCAGCCCAATCGGGCCACTTGAAAAAACCTTTAGCATTAAACCCTGTCCAAAGTTGCCTAGTTAGCCTTATTAACCTAGTTAAGCCTTTAAATGTCACTTTAAGCTGTATAGAAGTGTCTTGAAAAATATCTAGTACTGTCATTATGGCAAAGAAAACAGAAATCAGTTATTAAAATGAGTTATTAAAACTATTATGTTTAGAAATGTGTTGAAAAGAAATATTCTTTCCACCAAACATAGGAAAAATATACACAGAGGGCTAATAATTCTGACTTCAACTGTGTGTGTATGTATATAAACACACAAATAGCCATACATATGTATACATGCACACAAATACAGTATATATAATTTTCCATTGTGTATAATGCATAGTAAATATCATATACAAAACTTCGCTTATTAATAACAGCTTAATATGTATCCAGAAAACAGCCTATATTAATCCTTCAAAATTGTGAGAATTCGGTCTCAATTTCTTGGTGGTCTGGCACGTGTGCTGCATTTCCAAATGCCTCCTTTTTTGCTTTCCAAGTCTCTGAGACACAAAGGTCAGCCCTCAGAAGTGCACTAATGTTGTTTCCTTCAACACCTGCTGTAACATCACGTCCACCTGAGAGTCAGCTGTGTGTCGCTCACTGCTGGAATCTGCCTTTATAGCACTCCATCTATGAGGAGTCGGCAGGTCGAGCCGTCTAAGGGAAGCTCAAGTGTGTTTGAAGGGAAATATTGCCATTGTTTCAGTGGGGGGGACGTGGAATGATGGGAAAAAATTCCTTACCAGCTGCAGTGTTTGTGGAAGGGAAGCGAACCACTGGCGATAATCAGACCCATACTGCCCTGGAATGTTCCTGGCAGCACATCACTGCGTCCCGACCCACTGCGCCAGTTTTTTATTTGATTTTTTATTTTTTATTTTATCTCTTATAATGGCACTTTTCCATTGCATAGTATGGATTGGTACTGGTTGCTTCAACTCACTTTTGGGGAGGAATTTCCACAGTATACAGAACCTGGTCCTTGGTGCTTTTTGTTGTACCACATTGGCTGAAGGTCTAAGGGAACCATACTGATGTAAAATGTGACAAAGCACTGCAGATCATTGATTGGCCAGAAAGAATTAGCACTACCTATGTTATTAGCTATGTTTCCATCCACCGATTTATTATTATTATTTTTAAATAGCAGACAAATTACTTAAAATACAAATGCCAAGATGTGCATATATTAAAAAAAAGCTTGTGTGCATAAGGAGTAGAATAAACTTTTAATTTAATCATAAAAATGCATGGAAACACTTACTGGGGGAAAAAACTGTGTTTGCATCAAAATAAATTCATGTGATTTGGTTTTTACAGAGCATGTGATAAAAATGGTCATGATGGGATGGCATTAATGGTGTTGGAATTACAGCATTTGTCAATTCCATGTGTTAAATATAAAGTCAGAATTTACATTTTCTTTAATGTAAAAGTATTAGTTATTTACTATATACAAATAACCAAATTCAATGTACAGAGCTGTGGGTCACGTCTGTCCCTAACATTACACCAATGCAATGCAAAAATTACAGTCGGGAGGTCTGCAACCACTCTGCATTTCCCTGACTTCAGTATTTATACACAACTGATGTAAAAAGGTGGAGTTTTGGTGGAATCGTCACTTGTTAATCATTCTGCAGTCCTCTGGCAGCCGCACCCAAACATACTTCCTCTTTTTTTACACACGTCACAGATTTAAAAGCATAAAACTTCTCAACTGCAAATATTCTGTTTCAGCTTTAGCCCATCTTTGCTCACAGGAAGTCTAGCTGTGGAGCTAAAGTTATTTTACACATAGAGACCTCTGCATTTCCATCAGCTGCATCTACTTCTGCAAAAATTACTAATTAATATTCAAGCATGTTGCAGAGAAGAAGTTTGGTTAATAGTTCACTAAGCAATACATATGTTTAAAAAAAAGTAAAAGTCATTTTAAATAAATTCCTTTTTCCCCACAATGGACAAACCAGAGGAATGACCACATTGTTAAACATCTGAAGTGTTGTTTCGGTCTTTTGTAAAATCCCTCAGCCAAAGTCTGACATCAAAACGGTTCAGTATTATTTAATACAGAACTGTCTTTATAATTAAATCTCCAAAAGCCAAAACACCTTAATTTTTATTTTATTTTTTTGATTAACACCAGTTAATCAGGAAGTGATGATTTGGTTGCCTTTGGATGGAAACTGTGCTTTATTCCCTTTTTTGTGCAGTATTCCAGTTTTGTGGGTAAATCTAATTCACATATTTGGATGAAAACATAACTAATAAATTTGCAACATGAAAAACTAAATTTAAATAATGAAACCCAGCCACTGGATGATCAATATGGATCAAGAAGGTCAATAAAGGAAGTACATGCATACCTTTGATTGGTAGATGATAAGCAAATCCACCATGAGCTTAATTGGGGTAATATTAATTCATTTGCGTTGTGTTTAACAAAAAAAAATCCTAGCTGATGCGCCACTATAATAATGACATGTACTGTATTGTAGTGGAAAAGCAAGCCAAGTCGTACCACGCAATGGAAAAGCACCCCAAAAAAGCCCTCCTTTTCTTTATTTCTTACTTGATTTATTCTCTCTCTCTCCCACCCCTTTGGTTGCTCTGTATGTTTTTGTTTCTTCTGCAGCAGACTGCTGTTCCAGCAATCTCTGTACTAGACTTGGTATGTTCTTTACGCTCTTACCTCTTCCTGTTTCGGCTCCACCTGTGTCTCCTCTTGCTCACTGCCTCCCCCTTCATTCGGCCTGTATTTAGAGAGAGATGTACCACTTTTCAAGCCGTCATGGAGACTCCATCTTGGGATATTCATTGTGCTCCACTGGAAAACTGCTGCTGTAGAATTATCGCTAAAAATCAACCCAATGGATCATCTAAATAACTTATGTATGCTAAAGTGTGTCGTTTGTGAGCCTGTCAAATGGTATTCTTTTACTATTCAAACCAATAGTACCAGCCCCAAATTGGTTAATAAAGGCGAATAAAATGTTTTAGTTACTTCAGGGTGTCTGCGAGGTCTTAAAGTCCTAAAATCTCAAAATCAAAATTGTAGGCCTTAAAAAGTTTTAAATCTACTGATATATTGTGTTGTCTTAAATCTTAGTTTTCTTTTGTTAATGTATTGCTACCCAATCTGGCCATTGACACCCATACAATCACCAACAATCCATTTCAATAAAACTTTAAACTATTTATTTGAAAAGGTATTTTTTAGCTAAATTTACCGTAATGCTTTAATTATTTTTGCATGTATTTGCTGCTGAGGACACTGGACAGATTGTTGTGCATAGATTTAGTTTATTATAGCTTTTAAAACTTTTAAAACATGTTCATTTTTTTATGTTTAAGTTTGTGTTGAAAAAAAAGTTTTAAGTTTACAACAACAGCTTGCTTGTTTTTACACAATATTTAAAATATTTTGCTAATATCTAAAAAAAATTATAATTAAAATATTATTTTATTATAAAATGTATTAAATTATAATTAGTATTTGTTTTTTTGAAAAGGCAAATAAAAATCTTTTGCCATCTGGGCCATATAAAAAAATCCTTATTTAACCTTTTATGAGTCTAAAATTTCATTTATAATGGTCTTAAAGTCTTAAATTTAACTTGCTGAAACCTGCAGAAACCCTGAAGTTAAATATGCGTAATAATTATATTAAAATAAAATATTTAAAAAGTTATTTTTTTTCATAGATAGATAGATAGATAGATAGATAGATAGATAGATAGATAGATAGATAGATAGATAGATAGATAGATAGATAGATAGATAGATAGATAGATAGATAGATTGATTGATTGATTGATTGATTGATTGATTGATTAAAACCATTAACATAATTATTAGGGTAATTGAAAAGCTAGAATTTTTGGTCACCTTAACTGTATTAGTTACTAATAACTTTGATAAAAAATAAATATATAAATAATTATTATATGGTATATAGCTGATGTCTATCAGTACAAATTCAACAACAATTCAGTTATTAAAATACCATTGACACCCGAAAAGACACACTTCAGGTTAAAACATGCGCAGGACCGTGATCTCTTTTTCTAAGTGAGCAATATAAGCTATACGCTTAACATACACGTTCAGATGTACCTAACAAAATCCCCAAATTAATCTCAAAGAAAGCTTTGGCCTCTCTTTCTTCCTCTTGGAGAGCCTGATGAAGCTCTGCTGGTTCGGGCAGCTGTTGTTTCAGTGCAGTATCATCACGAGGGCCCGGTTGGTGCATGTTCTCCTCCAGCCTGGTCTCTCAATCTCTCTCTTCTGCTTGCATGTGGGCTCCATTACCGTGTGCTGTAATCTCCATTCCTGTTGTTTCTTTCGCCACTTCACTTATCACTGCTGTATGTGAGTCCCAGGCGATTTGCCGCTCATTTACTCTCGCATTGGTTTTTCCTGCTCTGGGTTTCCTCTTTCTCTTTTCCTGATTGGACATGTGTTTGTTTATGTCTGCGTCCTTCTGGTTTTGGAAGGATCAGGTGTGTGGCCAGTGATTTGTATTTTCGGTTACCATTGTACTGTGTATGGCGTTTTGATGGAAGTGTTTGGATTCCCTTTTTAAAAGACTTTATGTAGGTGTGAAGAAGTATTGCAATGCCATCTGTAAGTTGTTTTGCATGCAAACGTGTATGTGCATGTGTTTATACGTGAGTGCATGAAGCCTCTCGTCACTGAAGGCATTATTACAGATGTAACGATGATGAATGTGCTGGTTACTTTTTATACTTTTTTATATTCATATGTATACGTCACAGCAGGCTAGGCTTTAAATGAACTATTAATGAATACAATGTGTGATTTAGATCAGTGTTTCTCAACCATGTTTCTGGAGGACCACCAACACTCCATGTTTTGCATGTCTCCTTTGTTTGTCACACCCATTACAGGTATTTCAGTTGAGCTGATGATCTGAATCAGGTGTGTGTGATTAAGGAGACACGGTTAATGTGGAGAGCTGGTGATTCTCGATGAATGTGCTTTGAAAAACACTCATTTAGATTACACTTATATTTCATTATTATTATTATCATGTTTAGCAGTTTTGTTTTGTTTATCCTTTTGTTTGTTTTTGTAGTACTCTTATTTTTTTTTAATTATGTTTTGTTTAATGTTCTTTTGCTTTTTTAATCACTTTTTTAAGGTTTAAATATTCATTTACATTTTATAATGTTTACCAATTTTATTTAATTTATTCTGTTTTTTTTATTAATCTTATTACTATAATTATTATTATTATTATTATTATTATATTTTTTTACAAATTATATTTATTTTTTTATTACCTTTTTAGGTTTAAATATTGATTTACACATTAAAATCGGCTATTCATTCAAAAGATTGAGGTCAGTAAGATTTTTTTCTTAAATGTATCATACCCAAGATACTTAGTGTTCTTAACAAAGCTTTGTGTATTTTGCACAAAAAAATACAGTAATTTAGTAATTGGTACAATAAGGTTAAAACATTTTAAAATATACATTTTTTTTATTCAAATATATTTAATATATCTGTGATTTATTTATTTTTTAAGTAGATTTGTTTTAATAATCGTCAGTGTCACATGATCCTTCAGAGAACATTCAGCTGCAAATTTGCGGCTCTAGAAACATTTCAACTTGGCGGTATGATGGTAATGTATATATTAATACCGCAGAATGAAATTTATTTTATTATTAGAATAATTATTATTTTATTATTGGATTTTTTTTTTTTTTTTTTGCGTATACCGTAATATGTAAATATGTGGGTGTATTTATAAGGTTAATAATAAAGTTCTTAAATATTCAAGCTTATTTATCATATAAAGCCCTTTTGTACATTTTCTGGAATAACTACCTTTATTAAAAAACTATATCATGAAATATATTGTTACCATTAAATAAACTTTCTTATACTAGAAAGTAAACAAGGTAACACTTAACAATATGGTTGCATTAGTTAATGTTAGTTAATGCTTTTACTATCATGGTCAAACAATGAACAATACATTTATTACAGTATTTGTTCATGTTATTGAATTAAAATACAATTGTTTATTAATAGTTTGTTAACTTGCAGTACGATGCATTAATGTTAACAAGCCTGAATCTGGATGTTAATAATGCATTAGTAAATGCTGAACCATAATTAATAAATGCTGCACAAGTATGGTTCATAATTAGTTCATGTTAGTAAATACATTAACTAACGTAACCTTATTGTAAAGTGTGACCAAAAATATTAATCTCTTTACTGTCACTTTTAATCAATTTGTTGCATTCTTGCTAAAATAAAACTAATTGGAGAAAGAAAACAAAAACCTGACCCTAAGATTTTGAAGAGTAATATAAGTTCAAAGCACAAAACTACAATTTATGAACCATTAACAACCCAACTTTTGTCTAAATTTCTTGATTCAAAGGGAACAAATTGAGTCAGTTTATTCTCTGTGATGTATTGTTTTTGTGTAAATGTGATTGTGCATTGTGCGCCTCAGCTGCAGGACGAGGAGCGACGACGGAAGCAGCAGCTGGAGGAAATCCGCAAGCGCGAAGCAGAAGAGCGAGCCAAACAGGAGGAGGAGAGACGCTGGAGAGAGGAGGAGAGAGCCAGGAGAGAGGCTGACGAGAAGGTATTTATATCCATGCAGACAACTAGGAATTGTATAGCTAAATGCATGTTATAAGATGAGCTTTTAAGTTGTTGTGCACTGTAAACCAATATCCGTAAATTAGCAGTTTTTCGTATTTTGTGATTCATGCTTTTAATTTTTTTCCCTCTTTTATTTCTGCTTTTGAATTGCAATGTGGGACTTTAGTCTTTCTTCCAACGTTTTTTAACCTTAAAAAGATTGTAAAAGTGACTTTTATGAACATTTCTAATAGTTTAAAGTAATATAAAGTATATTGGTAATATATAAAGTAAATTGTCTGTGTTGATGTTGTCTATTACTCTACTAAAACCTTGTAATAAACTGGCAGTACATTTTGTCTAATATATTATTTCTTATACATTATATTATTTCAATCTACTAAAATATCTATAAAAGTTCTTTTGTTAAACTGTAGAATTCAACAGAGTAGAGATCAAGCTCCCATAATGCAATTCACATCTGGAAATAAATGGAAAACACTCGTGACTCACAAAATACAGAAACTGTTAATAACAGATAATTATTTATTGTGCAACTGCAGGCATGATAATAGCCTTTTTTATTATTTCTCTCAGCCAGGCCTTAAAGCGATAGTTCACTCAAAGATGAGAATTGTTATCGAATAATCTTCCCTCCATTATAGGATCTTTTGCTTTGTTATAAAGATATTTTGAGCACTGTTGGAAATTGGTAGCCACAGACATCCCCAATATTCATGTTAATGATTTTATTAGATATTAGTAAATATTTTAAGGATGTAAATTATAATTAATATTTAATTATATTTATGTGTTTTTTTAGAAGCAGAAAATGTTCATTTAGTATTTTAGTACTTAATTTTTGATCCGTATTTTTAGCATTATTATTTTTTGATAAAATTCATTCATTCATTTTCTTTTTGGCTTAGTCCCTTTATTAATCTGGGGTCGCCACAGCGAAATGAACCTCCAACATATCCAGCATATGTTTTACGCAGCGGATACCCTTTCAGCCGCAACCTATCACTGGGAAACACACACACTCATACACTACGGTCAACAGGTCTTTGGACTTCGGAGCACCCGGAGGAAACCCATGCGAACACGGGGAGAACATGCAAACTCCACACAGAAATGCCAACTGACTCAGCTGAGGTTCGAACCAGCGACCTTCTAGCTGTGAGGCGAATTTGCTACCCACTGCGCCACCATGTCGCCAATTTTTAAAATGTAAATTATAGTTGATATTTAATTATTACGTGTTATTTATTTTAGAAACAGATGCTTAATTGTTCTAGTTAGTCTAATATTTAATTTTTTCTAACTTTATTTGTTTTAATAAATAAAAATAGATATTTTTCAAAGTTTAGTATTTTCAGTATTTTCTATTTTAATCGTTAATTTTTATAAGATATAAATTATAATTAACATTTATCTGTGTTCTTTTTAATTGTTCTAGTTATTCTGATATTTAATACATTTTGATTATTATTTACGTTTTTAATAAATAAAAAATAGATATTTTTGAAAATTAAGAAGTATTTTAGTACTTAAGATTTGATTATCTTTATTTTAATGATTATTTTAATCATTCATTTTGTAAGATGTAAATTATAGCAAGTTTTAATTATCTTTGTGTTATTTTGGAAACGGAGGCTTAAATTATTCTAGCTAGTCTATTATTTAATACATTTTGATAATTGTTTAAATTTATTAAATTAATAAACCATTCAAAGTAATTTATTAATGGCTACCAATTTCCAACTGTGTTCAAAATATCTCTAAAACAAAAAAGATGCTAACTTTTTGGAAACACCTGAGGGTAAGTAAATTGTGGTAAACTGTTCATTTCTGACTGAACCATCCCTTTAAACACAAGTCATGTTAAAAATAGCATAATAATGGTTCCAAGCTGGTAATCTTGCTATTTACTTTAAATGGATAGTTCACCCAAAAAATGGCAATGGTCATCATTTAAGATTTTACTAAATTAATCACCCTCCACTTGTTCCAAACCAATTCATTTTTCTCTTGAACACAAATAAAGATGTTTTGAAGAATGTTAGAACCCAATAACCATTAACATTCATAGTAGGAACCAAAAAACACTATGAAAATCAATGATTACTGGACATTCTTCAGTATATCTAAAAAAAAACACAATTTTCATTTTCATTTTAGGGTGAACTACCCCTTTAAGAAGACATACATGATCAGCCATGCTTATTCATGCTAACGACAAGCTTTTTCAAGGTTTCACCTGATGCCGATGGTTCTTCGTGACTTTGTAAGTGGCTATGATTGAAGGCCGACACTGATAATTAATACATGCTACTGTACAATATACACAGCCTCTTGTGCTTCACTTAAAGCAACTTATGTCTATATACATTATGCGCTAATAGCAGGAGTTGGAGGCTGTCAGAGGCTAAATTAAAGTGTTTTTTTAACACCCCTGTGTAATGCCTCAGCGGGTCATCGACTTACCAGTGGTCTGAATTTACATTTTCCATGACCAAAAATGTCGTCCCGCTCTGTGACCATCCAGTTTTATTTGTGTCTGTGTGCGTCATTTTCAGACCACTGTTAAGTTCAGAGCCCACTTGTGATGTCCAACTGCATGTCTTCACAACATCTCATCTGTGGTGTTTTTGTGACGTGAATCCCTCCACATATCCATCAAAGAAACGCATGAGAATCACACGTCAGATCTTTACACCTAAAACAAAAATCCAGCTTTTTTGTTGTTGTTATTGTTGTTGGGAGGCCATTGCCATTCCATACAGCATTGCTTTGGAAGTCCTGCTGGAAATGGTCCATCTTGGTTTTTTGGTGGAGGCCGTTGGAGTTTGAAGTAGCTTCATGTGTGTTTTTGCCTCCACATGCTCTCATATATGAGACATTTCCACCGCATACTAGCCCAGGGGATTCATGCACAGAAACCAGAGCAGCCAACCGCTGGCTGATTTTCTCCAGAGCTACAATAAACCACCAAATGCCAGCCAGATCTTCAAGGCTTGTAACAGCATCTTATGGTCCATGGATTTTCATTCCAGTTAGAACGAGACCCATGGAATGTCTTGTTCCTCTTTGGCTCCATCTGGTGGGATTACTATCGAATAGTAAACACTGTTAAAAATGCAATCAATTTGTGTCGGGAAAACATGAGGGAATTCAATTAACAACTAATATGGAAAAACAACTAATATGTACAAATTTAAGTGAAGTGAACATAAAACAATTTAGTCAAAAATTGTGTTGTTTCAGCTCATTTTAAGTTGAACAAACAGCAAGCATCATTTTTTGAGTGAAGTCTCACGCCGTGATGGCACTGCAAGCAAGCAACAAAACATAACCAAAGTAGATTTGTTTCATGTAATTCAGATTTCTGATTTAATTACTGGATTCTTTGAAAGTGTTTTAGCACTAGTGATCCTGATATCAATAGACAGACATGAGATTTTTCTACAGCAAGAATTTTCACTTTAAATTTAAGTGCAAGCATTTTTTTTTCTTCTTCATTTGGTCTTCCTCGAGGCCTCCTTCTGGAACACCGCTCTAGGTAGGCATCTAGGAGTCATTTAAAACTGATCCACATCAGCTGTCTGTGGAGGAGCAATGGCTGTACTCCGAGCTCCTCCCGGGTGACAGAGCTCCTCACCCTATCTTTGAGGGTGCGCCCTGCCAACCTGTAAACTCAATTCCGTCGCTTATGTCCAAGATCTTGTCGTTTCAGTCATGACCCACAGCTCATGACCATAGGGACATGGAACGTAGATTGACCGATAAATCGAGAGCTTTGCCTTCCGCCTCAGGTCCTTCTTTACAACAACAGACAAGTACATTGACTGCATTACTGTTGCCGCTGCACCAATCCGCCAGTCAATCTCACGTTCCATCTTTCCCTGACTTGTGAACAAAACCCCAAGATACTTGAACTCCTCCACCTGGGGTAATGACTTTCCTTTAACCTGAAGATGGCAACCCAATTTTTTCCAGTGGAGCTCCATGTATCGGACTTGAATGTGTTGATTTTTATCACAGCCACGTCACACTCTTCAGCAAACCGCCCCAGTGCATGCTGAAGTTCCATGTGCTATGAAGCCAACAGAACAACATCGTCTGCGAATAACAGAGATGAAAATCTGTGGTCCCCTAGAGGAACCTTAAATTTTCCCTACATGGTCACATTTATAAATTATATCCCCAAAATTTTAAGGGTTTGTTTTTTTTTACCAGTTCTACCGCACGGCATTGGTGCATCTATTGCCCAGAATACTGTTGCTTGCTTGCAGTTTGGCTTTACCTCAACGAATTGCATTTATCCATTTGCAGATGCTTTTTACAAAGCAACTTATATTGCATTGAAGGTATGCTTTTTTATCCGTTTCTTTTTCCCTACATGGGATTTTAAGCCACAACCTTGGCGTTTGCTAGCACCATGCTCTACTACTTCACTAAAAAGTGCATTTATACTGTACCAGTATATCAGCAAATGCTACACTTTTTTTTTTGTTTGTTCGCTTTTCCACAATGAAACTCTACTAAATCAGTGTGGACCGTGTGAGCAGCACTCGTTCTTCCTGTGTTTGCTCTTCTGGCGAGATGGACATTTCTTGCTTACAATGGGCGGTCCTAAACAAAGCTCACTTTTCCCAAAACATGCAGGATTAAGTTTCAGCTATTCGCAGTTCCACTCTGAAGCACATTATGTCGTATAAGCAAACTTGCTTTCCCCAAACAAACAGGACTGCATTTACATTTACAGCACATCTACTGTATAAAGTAGTGGTAAACCACAGTGGTGCATATATTAGACAGAACATGGTTAGTTTTAGCCTGTGCATTGTAGCAAACATACCAATTTCTTAGCATCATGTTGAACAATTTGAGCTAAAAGAGCCCACTTCACACTCGAAAACTTATAATATGCAATAATTAGAGAATTATTAGCCTCCCTGTATATTTTATTTCCCAATTTCTGTTTAATGGAAAGATTTTTTTCAGCAAATTTCTAAACATAATAGTTTTAATAACTGATTTCTAATAACGGATTTCTTTTATCTTTGAATGATGACAGTGCATAATACTTTACTAGATATTTTTCAAGATACTAGTATTCAGCTAAAAGTGACATTTAAAGGCTTAACTAGGTTAATTAGGCAAGTTAGGGTAATTGTTGAATTGTTCTGTAGATAATCAAGATGAAAAAATGCTTAAGGGGATAATAATATTGGCATTAATATTGTTTAAAAAAATTTCAACTGCTTTTATTCAAGCCAAAATAAAAAAAATAAGACTTTTTCCAGAAGAAAATAATTATTAGGAAATACTGTGGAAAAATTCTTTGCTTTGTTAAACCTCATTTGGGAAATATTTGAAAATGAAAAAACAATGCACAGGAGGGCGAATAATTCTGACTTCAACACTTTCTAATACAATGTGCTTTTAGTATTGCATTAGAGCATTAGCTTTAGCCCCGGCGTGGACCGTGTGTGAGCGGCACAGGCTAGCGAAGGCAGCTCTAACCAGCTCTTCCCATGTTCCCCCCTCAGAGGAGACAGGAGGAAGAGTACTACACCCGCCTGGAGGCAGAGCGGCGCCGGCAGCACGAGGAAGCTGAGCGCAAGCTGCCGACGCCAGATGAGACGGGTCTGTACAGACCCCCTTTACCCCGGGACTACCAGCCCCCTTCTCCCTCAAGCGCACCCGCCACTAACCACACCACCAGCGCCCCCCCGCCTCCGCCTCAGAGAAACACCTCCTACCTCAAAACCCAGGTCGCCTCCCCAGACACCATTTACACTGCCAAGTTTGTCTCGTACAATGACGAGGAGGAGGAGGAGGATGAGGAAGATGCGGGCCTAACAGGTCAGGTTAAGCTCTCGGCCACCCGCAAGTCCTACGGCGACCTTCCGCCTGCCCCAAAGCCCCAGCCGCCGCCAACCGCGCGCAAGCCCCGTCCCGTCTCAGATGGCATCTTTCTGTCCAACTCATTCCAGCTGCCCGCTGGGCTCAATGCCAACAGTACTGCTCTCAAGACAGGGCAGCCCCCTCTCCCCTTCACCAAACCCAGCTTCATCCCATCAGCCAACTCCAAAGGTAGAGACGCCGAGGAGAGCCAAGGCTCCGTCCTGGGCCTGCTCGACCTCCGCTTATCATTCGTTTTCATGTTTTGTTTAGTTTTTTGTTTAGTTTTTTTTGGATTGGTGTTCGTTTGCTCCTTTTCCTTGTTTTTCCAGTGGAGAGTCAACACTCTCTGTGTTTTTTCCTATTCCCTCTACCTTTCTGTGTGTCAAATTTGGGTAGTTTTATAGCCAATCAGTCGAATCGTTTGTCCCCTTTTTTTGTTTGTTTCATTTGTTTGTCATTTTTTCTTTTCTTCTGTAGGAATCTTTTGGGTTCAGTACAGGTTGAGCGCAGGTGAAAGCAATTTGTTTGATAATCATTCCTTATTGTAAAGAAATAAATATTGTGATCAATGCTTTTGCAAGGAATACTCCGAACAGTGCATTTTTTTATGATAATTATGTGCTTTATTTTATCATGATTTTAAATAAATTTTATGAATAACTGTTTTCAACATTTGAAAATCTTTATAAATGTTTCTTCGGCATCATATCAGCACACCGAAAAAAATATTTATGCAAAATTATTACAAATGATTTATATGTGTTGAATTTAAACAAACAAATTAAGTTTAGTAATGTTCAACTTAATTTGTTTGTTTAAATGCAGCCAAAATAAATTGTTTACAACCACTTAATGTTGAAAAAATTAGTAAAATTAAGGAATTATCTTTAAATATTTTTTTCAGTGCATGTTACCTTAATTTATGATGGAACATAGCACAGCAAATATATATTTTAATAATAAATACAAATGAGTTTTTTTAAACTGTAAAATAAAATGATATAAAAATGTTGCTGTATTCAGGGTACCCACATTTCTTGAAAGTATTTGAATTTCAGACATATGCATCCAAGGCCTGCAAAGTACTTAAAAATATACACAGGTCCTTAAAAGTGCTTGAATTGAATTTGTTTATGGTGTTATTTCAGCAATTGCACTGTGCTGCTGTCAAAAACAACTAAAAATAAATAAATTTTAATTTAACATCTTAAAAATAAATCTTGTACAAGGACCATGACAAATGATGCGCATATTATCAATATTTCAGAAACCACATTTAATGATTGCTATTATTACCAGTAATTCATTTAACTAAAGTTCTTTGAGCATGACTGTTTTTAAAAAATCATTAAAGCATACACATTCAAAACATCATCATTCCTTGGATATTTTAATATAATTAAATTAAGTGAAATGTTAAGTACAGTAAGGATTTTCATGGTGCTACATATGCAGTGGAAATTAAAGAATGTTCTTGATTTAAAATGAAGGTGCTTTAAAAAGTTTAAAAAGTCTCTGAGTCTACCGTTTATGAAAGAGTGGGAACCCTGTGTATTTTTGATCAAATAAATGCAGCCTATGTAAGAAATTGACCTTAAAAAAACAAATGATATTTTATTTTAAATAACATATTAACATATGTTATATATAATTAAATCACATATACATGACATATTATTTATAATATACTATATATATATATATATATATATATATATATATATATATATATATCACTACCGGTCAAACGTTTGGGGTCAGTTTTTATTTTCATGTTTTGTTTTTTAAAAGCATTTATTAAAAAAATGTTTACGTTTTAATTTACATAAATTACAATTACCATTAATATTAATAAAAATAATAACACTAATAATTACTTTTAGAGTGATTTGTGAAGGATCAGAAAATTCAACTTTAAAATCACTGGAATACATGATTAAATGAAATTATAAACTACCTTTGATCAGTTGTTTTATAGTGCAATAACATTTCACAATGTTATAATTTGAACTGTATTTTTGAATAAATAAATGCAGCCTTGGTGAGCAGGAGAAGCCTATTATAAAACATTTTAACCCCAAAAGGCTAGTGTATAATTTAAAAAAAAACCTGTATAATAATAATTGTATATAAAAAAACCTGTAAATTTGTGTGTTTTATTTAAATTTTGAAGTCATAATGATATGACTGCTGTAAAAAGTATGACAACTTCAAATAACTCGTGTTCGTTCATTGAATCAGCCGAACGATAGGTTTGAATCCAGTGAATTCCTCTAAAACCTTATTTAATGCAACAAATGCTTTCAAATGAGCTCAGCTTGTATCAATCCCACAGTTCTCCTTTGAACTAGTCATTACCCTTTGGTTGGTTTGTTTTGCGATCGCCTGTCCTCCACGATTCCTCTTCCTCAAATCATCGTAGTGGCGCTCGATCAGTCAGTCGACTCGTGATTTGCCGTGCGGCCCCGAATCAGTCAAGTACTGTTGGTGTTGCCAGCCGTCTCATGTGTGTGTGTGTTTGGTTTGCTTTGGGAAAGGCCTGCGTTCATTATCAGCTCAGGGAATGAGACACTGGCTTCTTTAGGCTCAACACTACACCTCTCCTCAGTCCTGCTTATACTTGGCAAAGGGGAAAAGATCTGTCGGATGAGGCGCTTTTTTTGTGCTTGACTATGAGAAGTGTACATCTGAATATGTTTTGGTGTTACATTTAGTAGTCAGTCATAGTGGAATGTTCATTCGTTTATTTATTTAATATTATTATCACCGTTATTATTAGTATGTATTTGTTGCTGCTTTCAGGTGTTTTTTTTTTATTCATTTTTGCTTTAAGTTGAGTTTTTTTCATTGCTGTTAACTCTTAATATCGGGGGAAAAAACATTTCTTAATTACAACTTCACAATATTACACTTTTACTGTAATTGTAATCAAATAAATGCAGGCTAGGTAAACAATAGACTTTAAATTATATACAATACATGTACATACTGTATATTAAATAACATTGTAAAGTAAAAAGAAAAACCTAAAGTTGTATTTATTAAAAAATAAAATGTAAATTTGTCTACAGTTTTATCCAAGGCTGCTGTAAAAAAAAGCATGCTAACTTTAGTAACTTAAGTGAAATTTTTTTACAATTGTTCATCCATTGAATCAGCCGAACAATTGCTTTTAACTCATTATAATGGGAAAAAAACAACTAGTTACAAAAACACAAACTTGCAGCATAAATGCTTTAACATTCATATGCAGCAGTCAACAGATTACAATGGGAAAAAATAAAAACAGCGTGGGGGAAAAACAATATATATCTACAAATACACAAGTATAGGCACAAATATGTACACTGTAAAAAAAATGTAATGACAAAAAGTCAAAACAACAAATATTTTATGTTGCTTTAACTTATTTTAATAAGTTAATCAGGTATCAACAATTTTTTTTAATTAGTTATACAAAGTTTAACTTAATATTTTTTGTCAGTTTGATTGATGTAAGTTGAGATGACTAGAAAAGTTGATTAGAGTTGATTAAAAATATAAGCAGCAAGAATTTTTTCATAGTGTGTGTACAAATAAAAACTTTACAATTAAATAAATACCCTAATTTTTTATTTATTTATTCAGACTTTACAATGTAGTAAATAAATGAATAAATACCCTTATTTATTTATTTATTTATTCAGACTTTACAATGTAATAAATAAATGAATAAATACCCTTATTTTATTTCGATTTGTGTATACAAATAAACATTTTACAATTAAATAAATACATAAATATGCTTTATTCATTTATTTATTTATTTAGACTTTACAATTAAATAAATAAAAATAAGTGCCTTTATTTATTTATTCAGACTTTAGTTTAATAAAAAAAAATGAAGAAATACAGTTATTTATTTATTTAGACTTTACAATTAAGTAAATAAAATAAATACCCTAATTTTTTATTTATTTATTCAGACTTTACGATTTAATAAATAAATGAATAAATACCCTTTATTTATTTAATTATTTGTTTGTTTGTTTGTTTGTTTATTTATTCATTTGTAAAGTTTTCCTTTTACAAAATATTTCCGATATATCTTTTATTTTCTCATCATTTGTATCTGTATTAATTTAAATAATTAAATAAAAGTGATCCACGCATCTTTAATAAATGTTATTTTCTCCAGTAACACATTTATTGCTCAACACGAATTTTATAATATTGCATTATGTTAGTACTTTACTTTAATTAACCAAGCACCAATTATGTTCAAATATACTTTACAGAATAGATAGTTTAATCATATAAATATAGTAAATTTATGTAGTATAGTAAAAACATTTGGCTCATGTAGTGTTTTACTACACTATATAAGTTTACTAAACTTTTATAGTGTCTGCTTGTCAAGTGTGACGTCACGTGAAGTGGCTTCCGGGTCTAACCCCTATATTAAACCGAATAGGGAGACACAACAACTGGTAATAATACACTCTTACAGAGTGATATTTCATACGTCACGACTTAACAAGCGGATGGTAACAACTTTTCTAACAGAAAACAGATTACAATAAAAAAAATAGAGTGTAAATAAAAACACAAATAATATTTCTTCTAAAAACATCTTCCAAAAAAGTCAACTTTCAGTACAAAATACATCTTTCTTTCATTGTATCAATTCCTTGTTTTTGTAAATTAAAATAATGTTTTTAAATGTTAATATCAGTGTTGTTAGTTTTTAGGATACCTTTAAGCTAGTGTGCTCCAAAACACTGACATAATTTGCGTTTAGAAGATGTAAAACTGATATAAACATATAAAGCTTGTAGTTTGTAACTTCCACCTAAATAAATCAAGATTTTTATTTACGTCACCTCATACTTCAGTTTCTCATCAAATCTTGACCAATCAAATACTATCCAGTGTCTCAGTGAGATTATGACAAACATCAAATAAAAATTGCACATTTCAAACCACTTCACGGGACCTTTAATATATTATTGTTGTTTTTTTCTTAAGATTTTACAGATACCTGTATTTGTTTTTACAGTAAACTTAAGCGTCATATCAGATGTGTCACTTCTAAACAGTCAAGTGCAAAAAAGGCAGTTCAACCCTGTTTCACAAAGATGCCCAGTGTATCTGACCTTGCATGTAATCTGCTAAAAGCTTCCCCATGTAACGTCATCAGGGTCTGTTGTGAAGGGTGTCGCATTTGCGCTTACACAGAAGAACTAACTTTTGCATTAATCAGCCGATAAAAGCACGGCTTTCTCCCTGCTCGGACTGACTGAAGCTTTACAAGCCATCAATCAACCATTCGCTTCTGCTTTGCTTAATCTTAATGCGTCTCTTACCAAAATCAACATCATGCTGAGTTTTTTCTGTCTGCAACACCGCTGAAGCCTCCGAAAACTATTATTATTATTACTATTATTATTATTATTATTATTACTACTACTAATATTAAGTTATTAATAATAAATATTTATTATTATCAATAATATATGCTTGTATACAATTAATATACATGCATATATTAATTATTGATAATAATAGTAATAATAAAACAGTATTATTATTATTATTATTTTAGTATTATCAATAATTAATATATGCATTTATAATAATTGTATGCAAGCATATATTATTGATAATAACAATAAATAATGATTTGTTACTACTACTACTACTAATAATAATAATAATAATAATAATAAAAATAATAATAGTTATTATTATTAATAATAATAAGATAATTTTAATTATTATACATGTATATATTAATGAATACTAATAATAAAATATGTATGATGTATATTATGTATATATGTATGATGTATAATGTATATTATTATTATAAATTCATATATTGTTTATAATATTAATAAAATAATAAGTATTATTATTATTTATATTGTTATCAATAATTGATATATGCATGTATACCATTATTGTACATGCATATATTAATTATTGATAATAATAATAACTATCATGATTACTTATTATTTTTACTAAATTAATAATTATGATAATGATCATAATTATTTGATATTATTATTACAGGCAAATATAACTATATATAATATTTATATATTTTCTGTGAATGTAGAATAATAATACATTTTACAAGCTTAAAGTTATTTCAAAATGAAATTAGAATAAAGCTTAGAAAATATTAGAATGCATTTTATTTATTTTGCATACTGTATATATTTTACATATCGCCTACAAAAATACATTTTATCTAGTGAAATAAATGTTATTTTTCAAAATCTTTATTTTATTTTACAATTACGATTATGGTAATAATGATGATAATAAAAAAAATCTATTTTATTTAAGTAAAACAATATATGTTGATCAAATTGTATAATTTATCATTATTATTTAATTGCTGTATCTCTGTAAAAATACAGTAGTAGTATTAATAAACCAATTCAATTAAAGTGTATTGTTAGTAAACAAATAAATGAAATGTTTTCATGATTTAATTACTGACATGTACGATATAATTCAGATATTAATAATTTAAATTCTTTCAATTTTCTTTCAAATTCTTTTCACTTTCTATGTGAAGCTGCTTTGACACAATCTACATTGTAAAAGTGCTATAGAAATAAACATGAATTAAATTGAATTATTGGTAAATCGTAATGTCTAATAATAATAAAGTGTATATAATGAGGGAAATATATATTTTTTAATTGTATTAGTTAATTCATTGAAAATATAGTTTTAAATTTTAGTGTTTAATAAAACTTCTTTTGCAGGCGTTTTATGCTATACTGCATTATAATTCAAGCATTAGAAATGATTAAAATCCGAATGCATAATTAGCTTAGCCACATGCTGTCTGAGGATCTGGTTTAAGAGGTGCTGCAGTGCTCCATCTTCTCTTCTGTTCGTTTGCTATTTCGCTGTCCTGTTTGTCTTTATATGTGTGTGTGTATGTTTAGCATCATCATCATCTGCTTGGCTTCACCCTCCTCCTCCTCCTCCTCCTCCTCCCTCATAATGGGCTGCATGGAATCATGGGATTCCTCAGCCGTCTAAACACGCTTTAAACCTGCTAAAAACAACCAAGAGTCAGAGAGAAAAACAAAATTACTCATTAATAGTAGCACGTTATTATAGAATTATGAATATTTATAATTATACAGGCTAATTTAGCTTCAATATTTTAGATTTATAAACATTTAATTAATTTTATAAGAATGATAATACAATATCAAAACCGCATCTGGCCTTAAAATAAAAGAGCTCAGCTTTAATTGTGTCTTTTCTTCAGGTTAAAGTTGCTGTTTTTTTACTCTTGAAGCTCTTGGTTGTTGTTTTTTTTATTTTTATTATTTGGTCATTGTGTTTGTGTCTTTCTCCCTCCTTCATCTCACAATCAGTGAATCTGAGAAATCCTTCCACATGCATTTGGATTGAGAGACTGACAGACAGACACAAGCACACGTGACGGTCAGTGATGGAGGTCACGGCTCGGTTTGACCTCCACCTCTGACTTCTGACCTCTCGGAGCGCTTTATAATTCTGACTAAACCTGCTGAACTCTGTAGATCCTGCTGTGAGGACAGAAGCTGCTGGACGGTGGTGTGCTGCTAAAAACAACAGTGAAATATTGATAGATTTGCTTGCAAATATGTGTGTGCCGGTTATTTATACACTGTTATGTTTAACAATATGTTAGAAATTAATAATGTTAGAAAATATACATTAGAAAGATTTTATTTTTAGATTTATTTCTAGATTAGTTTTTTTAGATTTTAATTGTTTATTCATTCATTTGTTTGTTTCTATTGATTTATTTGTTTTGCTGTAACAAATCAGATGTTTAATTCATGAAAAATATTAGTTTAATTTATACACTTAATTATGCATTTATACTGATGCAGTAATATGAAAACCTATTTTATTTATTTATTTTGCTTTATTTCCTTTCCAAATCAATTATTTAAATATTTAGTAATATATATTTAGATACATATTACTAAATATATTACTTAATATTAGATATACAACTAAATATTGTTTAGATGTAATAATATTTAGATTTTATTTATTTACTTATTTTGTTTGTTTGTTTTCCTGTTCTAAAAACAAACAATATATATGTGTGTGTGTGTGTGTGTGTGTGTGTGTGTGTGTGTGTGTGTGTGTTAAAAAATTAGTATTATTATCCACTTTAGTAATTATTTATGCTGATGCAGTAAAATGATAACCTATTTATTTATTTATTTAGCTTTATTTTAGTAACAAATCAGATATTTGTTTAAAAAATGTTGTAATATTTATACACTTTGTGTATTTATATTGAAGCAATAATATGAAAACCTATTTAGATTTATTTATTTTTGTATTTATTTATTTATCTATTTATTTATTTTGCTTTATTTTAGTAGCAAATCAGATATTCAATTGTTTAAACATATTGTTGTATTTATACACTTTATTATGTATTTATATTAAAGCATTAATATGAAAACCTATTTAGATTTATTTATTTATTTATCTTTATTTCAGTTCCAAATTAAATATTTTATTATTATTTATAGACTTTAATGTTTATTTATGCTGAAGCAGTAATAAAAAAAACTTATTTAGATGTATTTATTTATTTTTCTTTATTTTAGTAACAAATCTAAAATTTAATTTTTTTTAAATATTGTTTAATTTATACAGTTTATTATGTATTTATACATAATAATATGTAATAATATGAAAACCTTTTTATATTACGTGCTATGTTGTAATTAATTTGTTTATTTATTTATTTCAGTAACAAATCAAATATAAAAATTTTAAAAATATATTGTATTTTTACACTAATATGTATTTTTATTGAATCATTAACGTGAAAGGTTATATTTAGATTGTCTTATTTATTTATTTATTTTGCTTTCAGTAACAAATCATATTGTTTAAAACATGTTGCATTATTTATAGACTATTTATTCATATTGAATCAGTACTATAAAAACTCTTTGATCTGTTTATTTATTTATACATTCATTTATTCTGCTTTATATCTACAGGTAATTAAGAATATTGTATTATTCATACACTTTATTTATTCAATTAATAATTTGAAAACTTTTAGATTTAGATTTTCTTTATTTTTTACATGCTCTTGTCTTTTTTTTGCATTTAAAACATTTAATTTAGCCAGTTTCAATGGTCACATTTCAGTTGAATATTTTATATTTCTTTAGTTTACTTATAATATTAATAATAATGATTATATATATATATATATATATATATATATATATATATATATATATATATATTTTTTTTTTTTTTTTTTTTATACTTATTTATAATATTTAGATTTTCACCTTTTTACAGCCTCTTGTCTTTTTTGCATTTAAAGCTTTTTTTAGTTATTTGCAATGGCCAAATTTCAATTGATTTTTTTTTTGTTTGTTTTTTGTTTTGGTTTATAGTAATCTATATTTTTTGCTTATTCATAATATTTATATATATTAAATAAAAAGCACAATATTTATATTCAAACATGTAAAAATAAAAACACTCTAATCACCTAAAAAATGTATTTGTTGTCAGTGCAACATTTGAAAAAGTTTTTCATTATATGAATTGTCAAATTCTACAAATATATAAATGTTTGAGCAAACACACACTGCCAGTTGTGCACCATCATGAGCCCAGCAGCTTCTGCAGTTTTCTTGCTGATCGCTTTTGAACTGTTCCTCTTGATGTTTCTTGTGAAATTCACACTGTTTTTACCATTTGACGAAATGAAACAGGATTTAATTCATACACTGGAAACACAACAGGACTAGTATCAGGAGAGGTGTATAAAGACCCGCGAGACAAGTGGACCAAAGGGTGAGGAGACTCTACTCACACGCATTTCATTTGTTTGATTGATTTATCTGCACTGAATGATTTATTTATTTATAGATATAATATAGACAGTAGAGATTCTGTTTCTTCAATCTCTAATGTGTGCGTGTGTGTGTGTGTGTGTATAACAGCAGCCCGGATCAAGAGAACACAATAGGAGGAGCTCCAGAAAACCTGACCTTCAAGGAGCGCCAGAGACTCTTCTCGCAGGGGAAAGAGGTCTCCAATAAAGTCAAAGCGTCCCGAAAGCTGATGGAGCTGGAGAACGAACTCAACATAAAACAGTAGAGCTCAAAACACAGGACTCCATGCCAATCTGTGACCACCACACACACACAAAAACACACACACACACTTGGGGTTTATTGAATAACTGGACGATTAGCTGCAATAAGAGACCATATTCCCCTGGAAAAGAGATATATTATAAGAAAGCACTGTAAATTCTTTTAATTCTCTGAATAAGAGACGTCAGATGACATGAAGGGGGTCTATTTTTGTTTGTGAAATTCAGAAAATTATGCTTTTTATAGTTTTTTTTTTAATAGGCAGTAATGTGGGATATTTTATGGTGTTATTTTATTCATCTTTACACTATCGTTTTGCTTTTTGTCGAAATATAAGTGCCGATATGATTGACCAATGAAAAAAAACAGCCGTACACTTTTTAGCTACACACTATGAATCATCTATTAAGCATTAGCAAATGGTGAATTCATTATTTATTAAGCATTAATTTTACACTGATTGATGTTAGTAAGCAGTTTATAAATGCAGCTACACATGCTGACTTCTTGACTTTTATTATACTGTATTTATAATACTGTGTTTTCATACTTTATTAGCTATTAAATGTTCATTAGTAAATTCAGTATTGCATGATTTATAAACCATTTGTATTTAAGAGTAGTTGGTGGCTTTAAGAATCATTCAGAATGAGTGCGTAAATGATTAATAAACTATTCAAATAAACATTTATATATGTTATTATTCAGGCATTTACTAATAGTCACTATGCTTGTTATTAAATGCTTTATTAACTCAACTCAATGCAGTTTTGTGATTAAAGTGAGGACTGTATATGCTTTATAAATCTCCTATAAAGGACAATTAAAGGCTCAGTATTAAATGAACAATGCATGTTGCAGTCTTATCTAAAAAATAAAATGACTGCACACTTTAAACAGGAGTGTCAAAATACTATTAGAAATAAATACAATTATATAAAACAATAATATAATAATTTAACAATATACAGTGTATGATACAAAATTTCAGTGTTATTTAGCGATGTTTAAACTGCACAGACATTTTATTTATCATAAGATTGCAAAGATATATTTTTCACTCGATACAGTTTCATATTTGTATCTTCAAATGTATTGAAATCAATAAAGTCCTTTTATTTTCTGTTTTACCCGTTTTGAATTTAACTGAGCCTTTAATTGTTATTTATAAATGATTCGTAAAGCATAAACAGCCCTTACATTAGATTAGTTGATGTAATAAAGCATTTAATAACATACAAACTATTGTTATATGCCTGAATAATAAGATAAATGAATGTTAATTTAAATAGTTTATTAATGATTTACTTACGCCAGGCATGTTCAAGCTCTGTTCTGGATGGCCGGTGTCCTGCGAGGTTTACTTCCAACCACAATCAAGACACACCCGGGATAGCTAATCAAGCTCTTACTAGGCTTTCTAGAAACATCTTTGCAGGTGTGTTGAGGGATGTTGGAGCTCAAATCTGCAGGACACCGGCCCTCCTGGACTGAGTTTGGACTCCCCTGACGTATGCATTGTGAATGATATTAAAATAGCATCAACTATTTTTAAATAATTAGTTGTAAATAATGCAATGCTGAATTTACTAATGAACAATTAATAGGTAATAAGTTATGAAAACAGAATGGTCAAGTCAAGAAGACAGCATGTGCAGCTGTATCTATAAACTGCCTACTAACATCTATTAATGTAGAGTTCATGCTTAACAGATATTGAATTCACTATTTACTTATTATTAGATTATTTGCTTATTAGATGATTCATAGTGTGTAGATATTACAAAGTGTTACCAAAACAGCTTACAGTTCAGAACGACTCCATTATTTATATATATATATATATATATATATATATATATATATATATATATATATATATATATATATATATATATATATATATATATATATATATATATATATATATATATATATATATATATATATATATTTATTTATATATATATATATATATATATATATATATATTTATGTGTATATATTTATATATATATATATATATATATATATATATATATATATATATATATAGGAGGCTCACGGTTTTGTCGCACTGTTTATTACTTTTATTTCCTCTGTTGGATACACAGGCACCTTTCCGCCATTTTTTTTTTTTTTTTTCGTGTGTGTGTGTCTGGATTTGAATTATCTTGCGCAAACATGACCTTGTTAGCACCACTTGTGAATCTTTATTGAGAATGTAGTCGTTTCTGATTATTTTTTACTGTCATTCCGTGAGAGCGCTGAGGTTTACCACTTTTATATATAAAAACATTTAGGATTTTCTAATTCCCAGAGTTTCTCTCTATCTCTCTCTTTTGTGTTCGATTTAAAGCAGACGATGGCTAAAACTAAGTTAGATGGTAGTATAATGTTAAAGACAGAGAGAGAGGGTTTAAATGAAGAGGTCGCAGGTGTATTTATTTGAACTGGTGACGGATTAGTTTGTATTTATGAGTCTGCAGGTTGGATTGGATTGAGTTCAGCACAGTTTTTCCCCCTCGGCTCTCAGTATTTGCAGACGTTTCTTTAAATCTTCTGCGTCTCTTCATTGGTAGTCTAGTCCTGTTGGCGCCTGTGTATATAATTTTCCAGAAAACTCTGACTTTGTACATTCAGATGATGCATAAAGGGTAATGTCAGTATCCTTCCTTTTTTTGCCACTTTGAGAAACGTAAACTGACACCGTATACACAAACACACACACACACACACTCGTGTTTTCATTTTAGGTTAAAGATGAATTCGTTTGATTCATTTTAATGGTTGTTACATAGGCTTTTGTAAATCATAAATAAATACAGATTTTACAAAAAAAAAAGATGAACATTTGGCTGTATTTCCTGTATGTCTGTATTTTTTGTACATTGGAGTGTTGAGATACATACATTACATTAACACATACACTTGATACTGTTCTGTGTTTGAAAATATATTTAATATTTTTTTATTTGTTCAGTTATTTGATTTTGAACTTTCTAAGAAAAAAAATAAGTACAGTATATACGAGCAATATCACACATCGTAGTGCGAAGTGGCTGTATATCAGCACTGGTTGCAAGCTGAGTGCCTTAGTGTCCCACCAGTGACGATATACAGCCACATCGCACTGCTACTCGTGTAATGTTCCATTTATACAACAGTTAAATGGCATAATAATGTATATTAAAAAAAAAATCAAACATGGAGAGTCTCAAAATCCTTTTGTATGAGGAACTACTTTCTTCTGCCATTCATTCACATCTGCAGCTGACCTCAGAACAGCAGAAACCATTGCTAATCCACCAACGTTACTTTAGAGCTAGTATTTGAATGATTCTCTAGTGTAATGTCTAAAGTGATGACAAAACAGGTCATGTTGCTCTGCATTTTAAGATTATAAGGCTGAAAAATATGAAATGTCATCGGTCTACAGAGATTTCCCAGTATTTCTCTGTTGCAATCGAGAGATCACAATAATTAATCCCAAAAAAAGCCAAAGCAAAGCAAACACTACAAGATAAATAAATATAGAACTAAATCAATACAGCACTACAAAATACATGAGAGATCAACTTAGAATGTCACTTACCTTTTCTGTAAGGATTTGATCAGCTTTTTTGATTTTGCGCTCTCTGTTGCCATCTTTTGGCGGAACATCAACTGTTTTTGCTCTGCTCAGTATGACAGGCTGATGGCCACCAAGGCGCTGAATCTCCAAAATTATAAATATTTAAAATAGGCACTATAATTATAAATAAACTGCATAGTTGCCATCTAAACAACTACATCCTCTCCTCAAAGGCACATTATGTTGTCCAACAGCTGCAATATTTATTAAACTAAGAAATATAGTAAGTTTAATCATTTGCTGTCCTTCTATGTGGGTGGAATAATACACATGGGTAAAGAAGCTATATATATAAGTTCTAATATTGCAGAATATCGCACAGCTATCAGCCAATCAGATTTGAGAACCAGACAGTACTGTTTGTGTGTGTGTGTATATGTATATATATATATATATATAGACAGACACTATACGTAGACTATGCTCATGTTAATTTTAGATTTTTATTTTATGCTGATAAAAATAATATACATTTTGAAATTTTTAGATTTTTGACTCATTTAGAATAAATTAGAGATGTTACAGTTTCAGTCCTTTATTCTTTTGAATGAAACCGTTCTGACATGTTTATTTGTTTTTTTAAATAATAAAATAGTAAGCGATATAAGGAAATCTTATTTTTTTTTAAACATTTATACCATTTTTTTCCACTTAAACCATTTTTATCTAATTTATAATTGGTTTGCTTTATTTATTTTACAATTTGTTATATATATATATATATATATATTATCTAAATAGACAAATATGCTATTAATAATGTTAATTGGTTTATTTAATAATAATAATCACCTTTTTTCATTTTTCTTTTTCTATTACAATATCATGACAGTTACACCCCACTCTCTAATATTTGTTTGACAAAAATCGTATTGATTTTGTTCATAAACAAATTGATTTCATTCATAAATTAAAAAAGTAACACCAAGCATTTGTTGCGGGAGCTTTATTTTGAATGCAGTTAGAATAAATCAATAGATCTGAATACAGACATGACTATCATTCACCCGTTTAGCATCCTGATTCATATTATAAAGCAGCAGGAGCCGCTGAACAGCTTTCATTTTTCAGTATAAACCAACACACCCTTATCATTATTACAATAAACAATAGGCCAGATTACACAAAGCAGCTCATCTTTATCCTAATGGTGTAAAACGCAAGCAGTGGCTTAAAGGGACAGTTCACCCAAAATTGAAAATTCTGTCATTTACTCAGCCTTATTACAATCCTTAATGAGTTTCTTTATTTCTGTTGAAGATACTTTGAAGAAAGCTCTAACCACTGACTTCAATAGTATTTGTTTTTCCTACAAAGGGAGTCAATGGTTACAGGTGTTCAGCTTTCTTCAAAATATCTTCATCCGTGTTCAACAGAAGAAAGAAACTCATTGTTAACTGCTTGATGGTGAGTAAATAGTGAGTAGATTTTGATTCACTACTGCTTTAATGCTTCTGACAGCCGCTGTGGATGTAGTTGTGGAAGTCTATCACCGCCTGTTCCTGCTCTTTGGTCTCGACGGAGCCTTCTCGGAGTCGGCGGATTTCTTTGATGGCCTCTTCACCGCTCAGGTGTCTGCTTTTGACCAGGTAACAGGCCAACATGGTGCCCGTCCTGCCGTGACCATGCGCACAGTGAACCGCCACCCCCTGAAAAGCACAAACGCAACATCAGCAACACATTTTCTAGACCCTTATCGAAAAGATCAGTCACAAAAATCATAATATGAGGTAAATTGTTCAAATAACTGCAAAATTGATTCAACTAAACACTCAAAAAAAAAAAGAGAGAGAGAAAGATATCTGCTCGTTTAAGCTAATTGTTTAAAATGAATTTTTTTTTTTTGTTATATGTTCAGTTCACTAGATCAGAGGTTTTCAGCCCGACCCCCAAAATAACAATGCCAGTGACTCACAACTCCCAATATCCTCTGAGGTGGTTTTAGATATATAAACCTTACAAAGTCTATTCATCATTTCATTGTGAAGAACGCCACTCAGAGACCATTCTCCATGTCCAGTTGTGGCCAGTTTTTATTTTTAATGTAGGCGAGTGCCGTAAAGGTGTCAGAAGGTTTAATCTCATGCCATAAAATCAATGTGCTGTGTCTTTAATATAACCTAATCACCCCAGGGGTCACAAAAAAATAAATAATAATCGAAAGGCTGATGGCTTTCTATTTGCATGTTATTTTTTAATGTAACTATTAACTACTATTTTTATTTGTAAGTTATCTATAAAATATGGTAATTTCTCATTGTCCTGCGACCACTTTGGGAACCGCTTTTATCGCACAAAGGACGATGAAACAACACAAATTGTTCAAATAATTGCAAAATTGATTTAAGTCGTACTCAAAAGACATGACTGTTGCTGCTTGTTTAAGCTAATTGTTTAAAATGAGGTGAAACTACACAATTCTTGTCATTTATTTGGAAAATGTATTTGTTTTATGTCCAGTTCACTAGATCAGTCACAGCAAGTATGATGATATGACATAAATTGTTTGGATGATTGCAAAATTGACTCGGCCTCCACCCAAAAAAGATTGTTGCTGCTTGTTTAAGCTAATTGTTTAAAATGAGATGAAACGACACAATTCTTGTCACTTATTTGGATTTTTGTTGTTCTACGTTTAGTCCACTAGATTAGGGGTTCCCAAACTGTTATCAGCCTGCGACACCCAAAATAACAATGCCAGTGACTCATGACTAGGTACTGTATGAGCCGGTATAAGATTCTGACGGTATGATAAGCTTGGATACAAATATCACAGTTTCACGGTATTGTGCTTACTGCTCTAAAATATTTTCTTTTTAAATGTCCAGGTACAAAAAAAAAATTCTTTTTAAACACAATTTATTGTAAATAATTCAAATGGACTTCTGTTGTCTTCATTAGTTTAAAAAACACACGGATTTCTTTACAATTTAAAACAGCAACTTTAGATATCTTTTCAGCAGGAGATACTGTTGTCCTAAAAAAAACGATTATCGTCCCATGCCTACTCGTGACTCCCAATATTCTCTGATGTGGTAATAAATATATAATCCTTGCACACAACGGCGCACACATACCAAAATGCCCAAGTCTGTTCATCATTTAATTGTGAAGAACGCCACTCTGAGACCATCCTCCATGTCCAGTTGTGGCCTGTATTTATTTTTGATGTACATGAGTGCCATAAAAGTGTCAGAAAGTTGAATAAATGTGCTGTGTCTTCTATATAATGTAATCACCTCAGGAGTTACAACAAAAAAAAAACTAAACAAAAGAGCATAAATTATTCAAATGATTGCAAAATTGATTAACATTGACAAAAAAAAAGGTTGTTTAAAATGAGATGAAACAACACAATTCTTGTCATTTATTTGGAATATGTATTTATGTCCAGTCCACTAGATCAGTCGCACCAAGGATGATAAAACTACATAAATTGTTCAAATAATTGCTAAACTGAATTGTATTTGTTATATGTTCAGTCCCCTTAAATCTGTGAAAGTCTCTCAAAACGTTTTGTGTTGAAACAACATGAAGAAATTGAGTTGGTGGAACTGCCTGGTTATTCGATTGCATTAAGAGGGCTAAATGTTGACAATATATGTTATCTTAGATGTTTAAAGTTAAAAGAAAGACTTTTTTTAGTTTAATCCTCATTAGTTTGATAAGTTTTGTGAAGGCATTAATAAAACAGTTCCAGTTTGTTCTGCTGCAATATATAACAAACTAATCAGATTGTCCGGATGAAATGATTATGATTCATTCGTTGTGTTAAAGTTTAATTCAAAGGTAATTTAAAATGAAATAATCTGACAACTGGTTCAAAATGAATTTGCTTTTGGGTTTTATTTGCCTGAAACAAGTTAAAATTTAAGCTATTCAACACTAAAAAAAAAAAAAAAAGATTCATTGGATTTTTTAAGGCGACCTTTTTGCAAACAATTTATATGAGCTGAATTTATGCAAACAAATGAAGTTGAACTTTACTAAATTTAATTTGTTTAAATTCAAACCATATAAATTGTTGATTTATATGCATTTAATTTTTTTTTTACTAAAGTTCTTATTTATTAGATAGTCATCTCAACTTACTTCAATACAACTGACTAAAAATATTAAGGTAAACTTTGTATAAAATGTTTTCAATATTAAAAATTGTAGTTGAATCTGACCTCATCGACTAATAAAATATGTTGAAGCAACATAAAAATATTTGTTGTCTCGATTTATTGTCATAAATTTTTATAGTGTATATCTAACATCATATCAATATTTTCACATATCTGAATTTCTCCGCAGCAGAAATCGTCATTGATGAGTAAACATGTTAGAGAGCAGTGAAGGAGAGAGTCATTTTTTAATGCATTTTTTGCATTCCAATTTGCTCAAATAACAAAAACAGGAGAAAAGAAAAATGTTCAAGCTATAAACCTTTGGACTGTTCCATTGTCTAAGAAATGACTGCTGACTGACTGCTTTGCTGCTTGTCATTTAAGGAACTTTGGTCCAAGTAGCAAACTCTGGAATAGCGTGGTGATTTATATTTGACTTGAATAACAAAAGAAAAACTCCATAAAAGTGTTTTTATGACTTGCAAAAAAAAAGAAAACTTTTTTTTTTTTGCTCTTCACTTCTAGACACTGTAAAGATTATGTGAAGATTAAGTTTTCTAGCCTTACTCAGGTGTTATTAATTTACTCGTCATGATGTGAAAATTTACTTTTCTCAGCACAATCCTAGATTGAACAATTAAAGTCTTTTATCATCATCATTAATTAATTTATCATTTTTTTGCTGAAAATAATTTAATAGTAATTGCTGGCACGGACACCATTTTGTATGCAAGACTTAAAATAAACAAGTTTGAAACATGCTTAGAAAATAGTGTAGTGCAGATATACTGTATCTTACATGTCCTAAGACGTCCTGAGATTGATTGTAACGTTATCAAAACACTTTGAAAGTTCACCCAAAACTGACAGTTCTGTCATCATATACATCATATAGCCTTTAATTGTTCAAACCCTGTTTGAGTTTCTTCCTTCACTGGTGAAAACCTTGAAAGCATGCTATGGTTAACCCTGAGCAAATACCTTAAAACTCTGTTACATCTAACCCCATGTTACTTACACTCCCCTATCAAATTTAAATGTGAAGTTACATTTGAATTGTAAAACTGGGAGGGGGTTGATGTGAAATTAGGTCTCCTCCAATATCAAAAGCAAAAATACGCCCTTGTTTAAACCACTTGAGGGTGGGAAAATAGTGAGTGAATTTTAGTTTTGTGTGAACTATCCCTTTAAATAAGCGTCAAACGCCCTCTAGTGGAGGAGAACTTTTGCTCAGACAGGAAGCAGCAAACATTTCAAAACAACATTAGTTTCAAACACAAGCATTGGATGAAAACGAAGCTATAAACGTGTAATTGAACGAGCTACTGTGTAAAGCAGGATGTAGGATAAGAGTTTCCCTCACCTCTCCTTTAGCATTAGCCTTCTCCACGATGCTCAGGAACTGCAGGATTTGACTGCGACTCGGCGGAGTGAAGTCCACTATACTGATCTGATGCAGGCTCAGCTCTGGACACTTCTCATAATTCGGTGGTTTTATCTCTAACAAGGAGACCAGGTGTTTGATGCCGTGGTCCAGCAGGTACCTGTAGTGGTGGACCATTGTAGGACGGGCCAGACCGGCGAGTTTGCATGGCTCGACCCAAGAGAAGTTCGGCGGCTCGGCGGGGTTTTGTTGAGATGACATGATTATATTATTATTGTTATCAGATGATGAAGAACTGCAGCTATGATGATGAAGTGTGCTTCTCCACAGCAGCTTTATAAAGCCACCTGGAGAATGAATCAGACCGAGGGCGTGTGCTGTTTCACTGTCAAACCAACATTGCATAACAGACTACAAATGCTGATTGATCTACTGTGAGTACACTAACAAAAATCACCATGGTAAACGAAGACCGGCTAGTTATTACACTAACTTTTATTTATTCAATCATTCATTAGTCAGTATAGCTACAATAGGATTTTTTCTGTGTTATTAAATATTTTAAAATAGTTTTTATAACTTGTTTCTTTTTAAAATGTAACTTTTTTCATTTTTAAAATTATAATTATATTATTTCGTTTTTTAAATACTTATTTATTAATTATTATTATTACTATAATATTATTGTGGTTTTTGTAATTGTTGTTATTATGTTTTTACCAAATTGTATTGGACATATGAGGTGCTTAAAGGTGAAGACCCTGCTTAGTGTGTATTTTTTTATTTTCTCTAACTGTAAAACATGTTTTATTGGACTGTCCCACTTTAAATGACTGCGGAATTATTATTATTATTATTATTATTATTATTATTATTATTTGTAAGAAGTAAACTAACTATACTTACTGTATAGGGGATATACAGCAAAGCCAGCAGGCCCAAAATTTCAACATGATGTCAGATTGATGTTGTCCCCCAAAGTCGTGGGGACGTTGCATTTTGTTTGGAAATGAAAATCAGGTTTATGTCAATGTCACACATCAAACCTAAAATCAACCAAATATCAACGTCTAAAGATGTTATAGCATGATATTGTGTGGACAATACTACTATTATGTCTGTCAGATGTTGGATTTTGGTTACCATAATTGTCAATATGACGTTGGTTTAAGATGTTGGCTTGACGTTGGATTTTGGTCACTTTCTAACAACCTAAAATCAACCAAATATATAATTGGAGATCAAAATAACGTCCCTAGATGCTGACTAGAAATAACATTTTGATCCTAAATCCAACCTAATATTAACTTCTTATGAAATTGTGTGCCTGCTGTTAAATTACAAAGGGTAAAAAAAACTATATTAATGTAAAAAAATATCTTTATGTTTATAGTTTGTGGCTTTTATTGTATTTATTGCTGTGTAATATCATTGCACCTGCTGTTGCTAGTCATATTGACCTAGACAATAGTAATTTTTCATTTTCCGTCATTCTTACTACAAGGTGTAACTACAGACGAGTCAAGCTTTAAATAGGAAAATGATGGACATTTTTTTGGTAAATGTTTGAGTGAGATGCTAATGGTCTAATCTGATTCAATTCAATTCTATGCTAAACTAAGCTAAGCTAAGCTAAGTTAAAAGTGCTCATGTCAAACCTGGAGATTGGCTGAATGGATTCAAAAACTCAACTGTTTACCTTTAGGAGAGTAGTAAAATTAGCATATTATTATTTTTATTGTGGACACTTATTGGTACATTTTTGTGCTAGATGCTAATGGTCTAATCTGATTCAATGATTTATGCTAAGCTAAGCTAAAAGTGCCCCTGTCAGACCTGGAGAATGGGCTGAATGGATTCATAAATTGTAAAACTTAACTGTTTACACCTAGGAGAGTGGTAAATTTAGCATTTTTTAATATATGGACAGAAATTTATGGACACTTACTAGTAAATTTTTGAGCGAGATGCTAATAGTCTAATCCGGTTCAATGGTTTATGCTAAGCTAAGCAAAAGTGCCCCTGTCAGACCTGGAGATTGGCTGAATGGGCTGAATGGATTCATAAATGGTAAAACTTAACTGTTTACACCTAGGAGAGTGGTAAATTTAGCATTTTTTAATGTATGGACAGAAATTTATGGACACTTACCAGTAAATTTTTGAGCGAGATGCTAATAGTCTAATCCGGTTCAATGGTTTATGCTAAGCTAAGCAAAAGTGCCCCTGTCAGACCTGGAGATTAAATGAATGGATTAAAAAATGGTAACACTCAACTGTTTGCCTCTGGACAGTAGTTAAATGAAAAAAAAAATATATGGACACAAATTTTGGGGCACTTATTAATACAATTTTGAGCAAGATGCTAATGGTCTAATCCGATTCAATGATGTATGCTAAGCTACTGTTTAAAGTGGAGTTTTCTTGTAAAGTAGGCCCAAATGATATTTAATTCATATTTTCCAAGTCATTTTATTACTTATCAGCACTTTTATAGGCATGACATTTTTTTTTGATATTCCCTGATATTTTCAGCATTTGTAGATATGATTAGTCTGATTGTCTGTTTTTGACACTGTTAAACCTGTCAGGGTGGAGTCGTGAGCTTCTAATACAGACGGATTGACTTTTAATCTGAGACAATGAAAAGAACAACAGCTTACACCAGTAACATGTTGCATTAATATTTCATCAGGACACCTGCTGTATTCCCCAAACAAAGGAACAGTAATATAAAAGCAAGCCTTTTGGTGGCACAATCGCTCAGAAATCAGTCATCTGTGGGGTGGGATGTTTTCAAATGCACATTTACAACACTGGAATCCAGTTTCGGTAATTGCGAGGTTGATCCATGCTGTGATGCAGGTGTGGATGCTTGCAAATAAATCCGCAACTCTGTTTGTTTATTGTGTGTTGATGTTGATTGATAGTTGTGTCGTTTCAGGTCTCATTTTTCATCATTATGAGCCACAGACTGTAATTAGCAAACAAAAGACAGCCTCATTGTTCGGGCTCAGTGCAGTTTTTGGGTCACATTGAGATGATGTTGGTGGATTACGTGGCGTCTGGTGCAAGGTGAGTAAACGAAACCTAAAACTATCGGTCAAAGGAACATTTTTGTAAGCTGAAATCAAGTTTTATAAAGCACAATACATGAAATAATAACTGAAACTAGCAAGAGAACTGAGATAAAATAATAATCAACAAAAATAATTGTTTTCAGAATTAATCAGCACTGTACAACAATTCTGGATTCCACACAGTCGATTTGTGTTGGGACAACATGAAGGAATTAAGTTAACTTACTAGTTATTACAAATCGAAGTAGATTGAACGTAAAACAATTGAGTTGTCCCCCTCGAAAAGCTACTTAGAGAAGGAACTAGATGCAGGGTGCGATCTACAGAGGGGTTTGTGGAGGATTGACTCCCCTAATTAATGCTTGATCCCCTCTAAAGGACAAGCAAGATGTATGGGGGTCAATCTTTTAATAGTAAGAATAGCTTTCTCTGATCTAAATCTTAAATACTAATAATTAAAAATGTATAATATAAAGTTAATATACATTTGATCCCCCTTAAACGGTTTATACTATGTGAATGCAGTTCTAGAGCACTGATAGACATTAAACACAAGTATTCAAGACGTTTGTTGTTAAATAGGTGTTTGTATCTGCATGTAGCCAAACAAAAAGAAATATTAGACACATCATTTGTAGAGTTTGACCAACAATAACCTCTAAAAGAGTCACTTAATATCCCTCAAAACACTGAAAACATACATTTTATATTTTATATAATAACCTTGATCTGGGGGTCCTATATCAGATCTTAAAGTTGAAAATGGGCAGCACTGTGGTTAGCAATGTTGCCTCACAGCAAGAAGGTGCTGCTTTAAATCCCCGGCATTTCAAGTTATAAAGTGCAATTATAGAAAAAACTACAGTGATATTCACAAATGGATTAACTATGAACATTATATACAGCTTGTATTAGCTATGAACAGAGATTTAAAATAGATAAATAAATGTACAGGTTCCTATTATAACCGTTACAAATGTATATGTACAGTGGGTATATATGTACAACTCAAGATGGATTAGTGCAGTGTAGTGCGATGAATATGTGCAATTTTTAAATGTGCAAATGTTAAATAGCGCAGTGATTATGGGGAGTATAAGTTATGAGGAGAGTGTGGGGGTGTATGAGGGGGCAAAAGAGTCAGTGGGGGGCAGAGTTCAAAAGGGAAACAGTTCTGGGGGAAAAGCTGGTCCTCAGTCTGCTGGTTTTTGTCCAGGGGAACCTAAAGCGGCTGCCGGTGAGCAGGGTGAAGGAAGTCCTTAAGAATACTGCGTGCTCGGTGCGGACAGTGTTTCTTCTGGATGTCCTCAATGACTGGAAGTTGGGTCCCTTTGATGGGCTGGGCAGTTTTCACCACCCGCAACAGAGCAGCTTCTATACCAGACTGAGACACAGTTGGTCAGGATGCTCTCTATTGTACAGCTATAGGAGTTCACCAAGACGGCTGATGACAGCTGGTTCTTCTTAAGTTGCACTGGTGAGCCTTCTTGACCGGGCTGGAGGTGTTGGTGGTCCAGGACAGGCTCTTTGATATGTGATTCTACAGAAACTTGACGGATAAGACAGGCTTAACGACCATCCCATTGATGTGAATGAGGTCGTGTGATCCTGTTTGTGCCTTCCTGAAGTCCACAATAGGTCTTGGGGGTGTTAAGGAGCAACCAAGTAGCCATTTGCTGTATCTCCTCCCCGTAGGCAGTCTCATGTGAGAGAATATGGGTGTTTCCCAGTACTGGGTTACGGCTGGAAGGGCATCTGCTGCGTAAAACATATGCTGGAATAGTTGATGGTTCATTCCGCAGTGGTGACCCCTGATAAATAAGGGACTAAACTGAAGGAAAATGAATGAAGTGATTGAAAACTCACAGCCGCTCAGATTCATAGCCGGATAACAGAAGAGGAAGGCCAAACACTTATCTGCTGACAACAAACCTCATTGGGGCCAGACAGAAAAAACAGCTTTTAGAGGAAGTTAGGAAGCTGAACAGTCTCCACAAAATAAAGGAAGCACAACTGTCTTCAACCCTAATAATAATAATAATAATAATAATAATTGGAAATCTTTCTTGGGGACCAGATCAGCATATTAAAGTGATATCTGAATGATCATGTGACACTGCGTTCTTCATCCAGTTGAGTGCTTTTTTTGAGGAAATAAATCTTTTTGTTCTTTTAATTCACTGTACTGCCCTCTTTAATTGCACTAAAGGCATATTGTTTTACACGCTCTCGGGTTTTTGTTGTGGTAGTGTAGGAATGTTTTGTTCTTTTCTGGATTGTTTCATATAAAAGCACTGCAATCTGTGTAGTTCTGTGTAAGTTATCTGATATCTGTGTGAGGAACAGACTGACATTTAACCCTCAAACTGTACTTATTTCCTGTTTACTAATTCTGATATAGACCCCAACAACTTATAAGAGTAAAAATATACCCATACAAATTAAATTTATGTTGTTTGCTAAAAAAAAAATACATTAATGGTGTGTTTTTTGTGAGGTATTATGTGATTTTTGCCTACTTTACCACAAAAATCCTCAATCTACATCTACACTACTCTTAGAGAACGTCACTTCAGAAAGTATCTAAATTTAATTTATGGATGTTGATCTAGGTATTAGGTGTAGAATTTGGTGGGTGATGAACCTTAAAGGTTACGAATGATAATGTTTTGTCCAGCAGAGGGCCACATATAGCCATTTGTTTTGTCTGGATGTGGCCGACTGCTCCTTTCAAGACGTTTTGTGATACATTTTGTGAATTTATGTATATATAAACATTCGAAAAAACATTTAAATTAAATATTGTATCCAAAGTTATGTGTTAACATTAGTTAATACAATAATAACGAATTGCTTTTTAATTTTCATTAACTAATGTTCACAACAATGAACACTGTACTATCGTGTTTATAAAAGTATAACCTTATCGTGTGGTATAGACAGACGGACAGACACACGGATGAATCATACATTTAGCCTACTGAAAGCAAACCAAAAACATGTCTGCCAGTTAAACCATGCTAATGATAAATGGATCATTTTTACACTAATCATAGTGTAAATATGGTGTTTGTAGTGAAACTGTACACTCACCGGCCACTTTATTAGGTACACCTTACTATTACCGGGTTGGAGGTCCTTTGGCCTTCAGAACTGCCTTAATCCTTCATGGCATAGATTCAACAAGGTACTGGAAATGTTCCTCAGAGATTTTGCTCCATATTGACATGATAGCATAACACAGTTGCTGCAGATTTGTCGGCTGCACATCTATGATGTGAATCTCCCATTCCACCACATCCCAAAGGTGCTCTATTGGATTGAGTTCTGGTGAATTTGGAGGCCATTTGAGTACAGTGAACTCATTATCATGTTCAAGAAACCAGTCTGAGATGATTCATGCTTTATGACATGGTGTGTTATCCTGCTGCAAGTAGCCATCAGAAGTGTACACTGTGGTCATAAAGGGATGGACATGGTCAGCAGCAATATTCAGGTAGGCTGTGGCGTTGACAATGCACAATTGGTACTAATGGGCCCAAAGTGTGCATACCTCAGTTGTAACGAGTGGTTATTTGAGTTACTGTTGCCTTTCTATCAGCTCGAACCAGTCTGGCCATTCTCCACTGGCATCAACAAGGCATTTGTGCACACAGAACTGTCGCTCACTGAATATTTTCTCTTTTTCAGATCATTCTCTGTAAGCCCTAGAGATGGTTGTGCGTGAAAATCCCAGTAGATCAGCGGTTTCTGAAATACTCAGTCCAGCCCATCTGGCACAAACAACCATGTCACATTCAAAGGCCCTTAAATCATCTTTCTTCCCCATTCTGATGTGCAGTTTGAACAGCAGTGGATCGTCTTAATCATGTCTACATGCCTAAATGCATTGAGTTGCTGCCATGTGATTGGCTGATTAGAAATTTAAGTTAACGAACAGTTGGACAGGTGTACCTAATAAAGTGGCCAGTGAATGTATATGAAAATGCAGTAAAAACAAATTACAATTCATGAGGGTTTATTTTTTAGTGAGGGTAAAATATATTTGAGATAGATTAAAAACTGATGCAACCAGTCATATATTTCTGTTATACTAAAAAGATAACTAGAGAAAAACACTTCCAGCATAAAGAGAGCCATAAAGATTTATAATGAGGAAATAATGACAGAATGTTAATTTCTTATTGATCAAGGGGTCGAAAGTGTGTATAATTCTCCTGTAGAGGGCGCTACATACAAATTTGTCGTTTTATCTGTATTTAAATCAAATGTATAAGTCTACTGGTTATGTGATGTGTACTTATAATAATAATAGTAATATCAATGACAACAGTAATGATACAGAACATTTACTGGCATTTTATAGTTTTAATTACAAGAGAGGGATGAAAATATCAATTGGAATCATGCTGCCAGTAAAGGCTTTTATAATGTATATATATATTATATAAACATGTATATTTTACAGTATATATTCACTGTGAATCTACATAATCTTTCGTAAAGCATTTTAAGTAACATATAAAACTCATTTTCTATTGCAATACATTTTCTGTTCTTGTCTCCAGCCTGCTGTTCGCGTGAGTCTCGAATTTCTCTGTTTGTTCGATTGGCCTTTATTCACAGACAATGAAGGAACGGCGCGTTACACCGGGTTTAGTATTTTGCATGCACATTTCATGACGCCCACATACCTGCCAAACACAAGAACAGTGACATAAAAGCCAGATTTTTAGTGGCGCAGGCTCTCACGCAGGGCTCGGGAGGGCTGACTTTGAGATCAGGAATCGTCCCATTGGTGATTGATGCTTTATTCTGGAATCACACATAGAAAAGTCAGGTAAATGTGTAGTAAAAGAAGCAGTACATTTAAAAGTGGTGTGATGCTTACAAATGAATTCACGACTATGACTGTCTGGTTGATTTTCTTGAGTGTTTGTTGGTATTCATTGATAGAGCTGTCATTCCAAGCCATCGTGTTCATCATATATAGCCAGGTTCTGAGAATGTGTAAAATAAAAGCAACATTAACATTAAGGCAAATATTAAGAACTAAATGCATTGAAGGAATAGTTTACCTAAAAATGAAAATCACTCGGCCTTGGTGTGCAGTGTTGGGGAAAGTTACTTTAGAAAGTATTGCATAACAATATTGAGTTACTTTCCTAAAAAAATTAACTAGTTGCGTTATGGTTAGTAATGCGTTACATTACTTTTGAGTTATTTTTGCATTACTTTTATACCCTGGATGAGGCTTGATCTCTTCCAGAACTTTTTCATTTTTTCATTTATTTTTTTTTAAATAAATGTGCTCTGCAATTAACAGCACACTGTATAACCTACATCTACATATACCTGTGTTCACCTCTGATGAAAATCATCTTTGGGAGCTGTTTGGACAGAACTGTGTGTAGGTATAGTGTGTCCACAGTCATATTGGGTTGATATAAAGACATTAATTCTCTTAATTTAAATTTCCTTGGCGTTAAAAAAAGGATTCAAAATTTGTCTTATTTTGAGGTCTACCACAACGTGATGTTGGAGTGTGGATTTCCCCGCCCACCGAATTGATTGACAGCCGCGTATTAACATGTCTCAATAGTAATGAGTATAAAAGAGCAGCGATATTGTGTGTGTCTCATCTAAAGACTTAACTCCACAACAAATACATTAAATAATCATTGGGAAAGTTCTTACTGTTGTATTTCTCACAAACGTTACGTGAGATCTGCTTCCTTCATGCCTGTCACTGTGCTGTTTAGCCGAGACGGAGATTGACTCTGACATGCACATGGGAATGGTGGGCGGGGAGAACTAGCATTAAAGGCACAGGCAACAAAAACAGCTGCATTGTGTTCAGACTAGAAAATCTAACTTAGAAACGCAATATTATTATGTAACTCACGTTACTTGTAATGCATTACCCCCAACACTGTTGATGTGTGACTTTGTTCTGTCAGACTAACACTGTCAGAGTAGCTTTAAATTTGATCTTGGATCTTCCATGCTGAATAATGCTGTTGGAAAATAGCAATTTTTTAAGCTTTCAAAAGTGAATAAATCCATCATAAAACGAATAAATGCAACCAGGGGCTTGACATGTATTATTAAGCGGAATGATGTGTTTTTGTAACAAAACAAACTCAAACTCAAAACATTAGTTATGTCACATAAATATCACATACAATGAATAAAATTTCTTATTAGAAATGTCAAGAAATAAAAAAAAAATTAAAAATGCTAATTAAAAAGTTTTGATGGAAACAGATTTACAGACAAAATTACAGCTTGCACATCAAATAAGTCATGGGATTTTGTTTAACAGATCATGTGATCAAAAAAGTGGGAGATGGGATGCATTAATGGACAAACCAGCTACATGAGGTGGCACCATATTGTAAAACATCTGAAATGTTTTTTTTTATTTTTTTTATTTGTCATCGACTGTGAAATCCTTTAGCCAGAGTCTGCCATTAGTATTATTACCTGGAGCACTGTCTTGATCCTCTGCACTCTAAAAGAGCATCTCACGCCTCCAGAAGGATCTGTGTATATTTTCGTCATTGTATTTTATTTTAGAAACGATATTGAAAAACGAGCCATTTTTTGATTTTCGTTCGAAGTTCCGAAATGGTGACAGACGGACCATCAAAATTAATAAATGATTTAATTTTCATTTTATATTTTGAGTAACAAAAAATTAAGGGCGGTGCAATGGCACAGTGGGTGGTGATGTTGCCTCAAAGAAAGAAGGTTGCTGGTTTGAGCCTTGGCTGGGTCAGTTGGCGTTTCTGTGTGGAGTTAGTATGTTCTCTTCATGTTGGCGTGGGTTTCCTCCGGGTGCTTCAGTTTCCCCCACAAGTCCAAAGACATGTGGTATATGTAAATTGGGTAGGCTAAATTGTATATAGAGTATGTGGGTGTAAATGGAAGTGCATGGGTGTTTCCCAGTCATGGCTTGCAGCTAGAAGGGCATCCGCTTTATAAAACATACACTGGATAAGTTGGTGGTTCATTCCACTGTGGCAACCCCAGATTAATAAAGGGACTAAGCTGAAAAGAAAACTAATGAATAATTAAACAAAAAATAAAATCACCAGAAAACAAAAATATTTAATTTTATTATTTAATTTTAATTTTATTTTTGTTTTATTTTTTATTAATTTCAATTTTCACTGGCTTGCTTGGTTTGGGACTTGTGGAAACACTGAACGGAACTAAACTTATCTTCAACTCTGAAAACTGGACTGATACAGTTACAGTTTACTAGAGCTTTTATGTTAAGCTGCTTTGACTCTGTTTGACACATGATGAAGATGATGATGATGACTCAAGCTCTTCTTCTCTTTCAGTGACATTTGAACTTGCCTTTTTCCACTTTTAATAAGTTAACAGCATTTAGTTATCCTCGTTCATCTATTTTCCCTGGAACTTTCACTGGAATAAAAACTCATGACAACAAATGTTCTGTTACTTTAACATTTTATCAAGCTACAGTAATCAGCTCTCAAGTAAAGCTTTCAAATGATATAGCTTAATATTTTTAGTCAGTTTAGTTGATGTATGTTGAGATGACTAGAAAAGTCAAGTTGATCAAACTAAAATTTAGACAGCAAGGATTTTATAAGGGTGTACTCACACTAGGCTATCAGAACCTGGGTCGTTTGACAAGTGTGTGTGCTGCGAATCTCGCCCAGGCACGGTTCAGTTGGCTGGCCTTGGCCCGGTTAAAAGAGGTGTGCCAGAGCGCAGTTCGGTTGGGCTTTGGGTGCGGTATGCTTATAATCTGAGTGCAAAGCGTGCCTGAGCGTGAAACTGTAGACCCGACTGTTTCATATGGATGTATTAACCATTCTTATTTTTCAATGAACGCAAACCCCTCTCCTCAACTCAGCTGCACCTTCAGCAAACCTCCTAATACATGCAGAATGAGGACTTTCATGAACATTTTTGAAGTGGAGCTGTTCAGCAAAAGATTTGATTGCGTGTCACTGCATATCAAACGACCTAAAATAATACAAAATAGCTGAGCAAGAGCGCTTCTCTTCCTAACTGAACAGCCGCATCATCGATGACAAGCGAGCTCGGGCTCAGCAGGTAAAAATAAAGTGTGAGTGCAGACCAAGGCGAGTAAGGAAAATCACACCTGGGCACAGTTAAAGGCAACCATGCCTAGTGTCAGTACACCCTAAGTGTACGATCACATCTTGTCATCCCTCAATTCAGAGATCAGTGATTTAAGTAGTTAATTAAAAAAAAAAGTAAAATTGTTTGTTTTTTTTTGTTACAAAAACACAATGATGCATTTGATAAGTCATGCGTTGACCACCTGTCGGCATATGGGTTTGGTTAACGGCAGATTTTTGCACTTTTGGAAGCTTCAAAAAACTCTCCACTGCCCAACACCATTATACAACATGAAGGAACCTTTAAATCAACTCCAACTGTGGTTATCTGACAGAAGAAAGTTCTATACACAGAGGATGGCTTGAGGATGATTACATTATGGGGTAATTAAAAATTTTGGGTGAACTTTTCATTTATGAGAATAGTTAAGTATAAATATAAGGAATGATAAATTCGATTACCCTGTATCTCCTGCTCCCATTTCAGACACTAAAGACGAGAAATGAGGTAAGCTCTCACAACCGCTCAGATTCATAGCTGGATAGTAGAAGAGGAAAGCCAAACACATCTCATCTGATGTCGACAGACCTCCCTGCGGCAGAAAGAGAGCCTTTTAAACATTCATCAAACAACACAACCATACAGAAAACAGTGCAATCAATCAATAAAATCCTGTCAAGACTATCCACTTCATTAAACATGTACACATAGACATCACCTACAGTACATGCTACAAAGCTGCAGGTTAATGATGTGTGTATATAATAACTTGTATTTGATTGTAATTCATTAATGTGCACCTTACATATATTTAAAAAAGATATACCTCTAGAGAGTAAGTTGTTAGATTTTGGCTGTGTAGATCCAGATACAGTAATGGCAGACAATAAATACCTGATGCGTGCTCTCATGGCTGCCACTAAAAAAAACAATCTCATGCAAATGGCTACAGCGCGAGCGTCCAACCTTAAATAATTGGATAGATGTAACTATTGAGATCTATACAATAGAAAAATCACTTCTGTAAACTTACGACGAATATATTCCTGGGAAAATGGAGGAAATAGGTTGAATATATTTCAGTTATAAGACCTTATTTTGTTGCTATAAACAAATAGAAGATGCTCAACAGATAGATAAATAAATACAGTATATGCTTATGTGTGTATAGGTATATGGTTATATATATATATATATATATACACACACACACATCTATATATGTATATATATATATGTATGTGTATATATATATGTATTTATATATATATATGTATATATATATATACACACACACATATATATATATACGTATGTATATATATGTGTGTGTGTATATATATATGTATATATATATATGTGTGTGTGTATATATGTATATATATATGTATATATATGTGTGTGTATGTATGTATGTATGTATATTTATATATATATATGAACGTACATACAGGAGAGGAAAATTTCAGATGGCATTTAGAGGTTTTTGCATCTAAACTTTTCAAAGCGCTATACAAATAAACTTGAATTAAAGACTATGAAATTTTCTATTTAATGCTGACTTTAAAGTGCGAGCTTAAACAGAAATAAATATTCTGTCCTCATTTACTCCTCCTTTACTCAGTTTAACTTGTTTTTGTTTTTGCTATAGATATCAATGGCTACTTTTTTCTAGTGTATCTTGAAAGGAATGTATAAAATTTTGGAGCCACCTGAGTGCGAGTATATGATGAGGTAATTTTTATTTCTAGGTGAGCTAACCTTTTAACAGTTAGATGAATCATTAGTACAGTAGCTGTTATATTGGATAGTCAACAGAAAAACTTCTGCAAAAAATGTAATTACTTTAAAAAAAATTACTTTAAAGAAAAATAAAAGTACATTAAAGAAATGTAAATAATGAGAGGTAGTAAGGGTTGAAGCTACAGTAGTTGATGTTGAAGAAAACAGACAATATGTGTAAATGTACAAACCTGTGTGAGTGTGTTGCGATTTTCAGTATTGTAAGTGCACTCCACCAGCAGTTTGTCACCCTGAAACATCAATTTTTATTACTTTATTTAATTTACAGTGGATTATTTTACAGTAAATGGCAATTATGCATTAATTAACAGTTTGTTTATAAAAATTTAAGTTTTGCTAATGTTTCTCACGCATACGGGGGCTGCATTTATGTAATTAAAGATATGATAATAACAGTAATAATGTGAAATACTGTTTCACTATAAAATAATCCTTTTCTGTGGGAATATATTTCTAAATGTCTTTTTTAATCAGTGTTCAATGTCATGTACACTGTCACTTCCCATCCAACCTAATAGAGCTTGAGAGGTACTGCAAAGGTGAATGGGCAAAAATTCCCAAAGACTGGTGTGCCAAGCTTGTGGCATCATATTCAGAAAGACTTGAGGCTGTAATCGCTGCCAAAGGTGCATCATTAAAGTATTAAGCAAAGGCGGTGAATACTTAAGAATGTGATTTTTCAGGTTTTTTATTTGTAAAAAATTTGCAACAATTTCAAAAAATCATTTTCCACATTGTCATTATGGGTTATGAATGCAATGTGTGTGTATATGTGTGTGTGTGTGTGTGTGTGTGTGTGTGTGTGTGTGTGTGTGTGTGTGTAATATTTTCAGGATTCTTAGATGAAAAATATTTTTAAAACAGTAGCATTTAGCATTACAATAGCATTACATACTGTTACATTATTATGTTTTTGTCTGTATTGTCAGTATTGACCTTGCTGAATAAAACCTAATCAAGTTATTTTACTTTTGAATGGTGATATGGCACAGCTTCCACAAAAATATGAAGCAGCACAAAAGTTTACAAATTTTATAATGTGAATTAAATTCAATTCTGAATCGCAGGAATAAACTGCATTTTTAAATAAAATAAATGTCTAAAATTTTAATTAAGTTACTCGTTATTACTCTTTTTACTGTTTTTTTGGAATTTATATTGTACACGAGCCCCTGTTGATTATAAATTTGAACAAATTGAAGTAGACCTATTTAACATTTTTGCTTGAAGACTTTTTTAGCACTCACCAACTTCACTGTCTTAGTTTTGCCCAAGTTTGTCACTTGCTGGAATTCAAAATTGTAGTTTTCATCCACAGCTAGAAGATCAATCTGTTTTCCTTCTCTGAAAGGAATAAGAATTTTAAGAAACGGGGGTGTAGAAAGGCAGTGAAGCCCAGACAGCAGCTGAAATCTCTCAGTATTATTCAGCAACCCGCTGCCTCTGATCATTTGAAAAAGTGGCAGAAAGTAGATTTTACAGATGAATCGTTTGTTGAACTGCATCCCAATCATCACAAATACTGCACAAGACCGGCTGAAACCCACATGGACCCAAGATTCTCACAGAAATCAGTCAAGTTTGGTGAAGGAAAAATCATGGTTTGGGGTTACATTCAGAATGGGGCATGTGAGAGATCTGCAGAGTGAATGGCAACATCAGCAGCATGAGGAATCAAGACATTTGTGCTGCCCATTGCATTACAAACCACAGGAGAGGGCAAATTGTTCAACAGGATAGCGCTCCTTCTCATACTTCAGCCTCCACATTACAGGTCAAAGTGCTCCAGGATTGGCCAGCCCAGTCACCAGACATGAACTTTATTGAGCATGTCTGGGATAAGATGAAGGAGGAGTCATTGAAGCTGAATCCAATGAATCTTGATGAACTCTGGGAGTACTGCAAGAACCCTTTCTTTGCTATTCCAGATGACTTTATTAAGAAGTTATTTGAGTCATTGCAGAGATGTATGGATGCAGTCTTCTAATTTCATGGGAGTCATACACAATATCGATTATTTTGCACAATGCAACAAGAATTTTGTAAGGTAGTGTATATGCTTAAACAACATTTAGATGCTTAGACATCTATTAGACTTCTATTAAACCTAAAATGCTTGCTGCAGTATATTTTCTTTCGCTGATTGTTTGTTAGAAAAATTTCAAAACATATTCAATGATAAAAAAGTTCATTGGTCAGAAATGTTTACCTGAAGTGTCCAACTCGCACTTTGCGTCCTGCTAAGTGTGTGTGCATCATCACAGAAAACACCTGAAGATCATTTGCCGTCTCCAGTACCTGCAGAGCACAGAACACAAAACATTATCCAGAAATGTCTTGTGGGAATGTGAGTAACTATACATTTACTACACATACAGTTGAAGATACAGTTTAAATTATTAGCTGAGAAATACAATAGTAACAGAGCAAGGAAATTTTTGAAAAAGTTTTGTTTCCTTGAATTTGGTTGAAGTAAAAAAATATTTTTTTAAAAATGAAACGTATAAACAGCTGAGGTCCTTATTATTAGACTGACGAAGCCCAATGATCAACCATCAGCTTGGTGTGTCCTGGCCTCTAAGAAGTTATTTTTATCAGTTGTCTACAGAACAAACCACTGTTGTCCTACGACTTGTCCAAATAATCTAACTTGCCTAGTTAACCTAATTAACCTCTAGTTAATGAAAAATTCTAAGAGTTAAAGTAAGGTAAATCGGCCTTCAGCTACTTCGTCCCCCACTGTTGGAATCAGCTTCCAAAAATGATCAGATGTGCTCCATCATTAGGCACGTTCAAATCAGGACTGAAAACACATCTGTTTAGCTGTGCCTTTACTGAATGAGCACTGTGCTACTGCATGTCTGACAGATCGTACTATTATGCCTTTCTTTTTTTCATTCCTTTAAAACACATTTAAATCTGTTTTTAAGTATTTTATTCTTTGTTGTTTTTATTACTTATACTAGTTTCTTTTATTCTTGTTTATGTAAAGCACTTTGAATTACCTTTGTGTATAAAAATGTGCTATATAAATAAACTTGCCTTGTCTAACCTTTTTGAGCCTTTAAATAACATTGTAAGCTGAATACTAGTATCTTGCAAAACTAGTAAAATATTATGTTCAGTCATCATGGCAAAGACAAATTAAATCAGTTACTAGAAATCAGTTATTAAATTATTATGTTTAAAAAATGTGCTTAATTAGTCTCTTGTGAAATATTTAAAAAAATATTTCAACTTCACAAGATGTGAAAGATTTTGGGCCCTATCATACACCCAGCAAATGTTGTTTGCTAGTTTCAGATTGACGCAAGTGTTGTTTTGAAGTTTTGCATGCTGTTTAAATAGCAAATGAATTTGCGCTCATATGTGCGCCAATAGGGGTTCTGGAAAAAAGCAGAACCCGTTAGTTGTGCACCTTGCTTAAACATAGCTTAATACACACAGGGTGTACAGCAATACGCAAATATCTTTACAAAAAAATAAAATAAATATAAAGAATAAAATAAATTTTAAAAAAATTATTAATATTTGCCTTCTTCATCTCGCTGGGGCATTTTTAGTTTATTCATCACAATTTGCTTTTGTATAATGTTATTATTATTAGCAGTATTATTTATTATATGCATATTTATATTTGTTTTATTAAAAACAAGCTTAGATTTGCCCAACTGTCAGGTTTTAGACCATATGGGGCACAGCATGTGTATTTGGATATAACTCAGTTTTTTTTAACACACTTTGTTATTATTGTTCATTTATTCGTTTGCTAAAAATGAGAACTGAATTTAGAAATAGTTTTAAAACAAATCTTTGCACTTAACATACAAAATTATGTAGGCTAATGGATATCTGTGCGTACATCATGTTTCCTTATCCACGAAAGACTGAAAGTAAAGAATGAGGAGGCTCATTCTCTCATTCTAGTGCTGCAGATGCTCTGTTTAACTGTTTTCTCACTAGTGAAGCTTTTGATTTTTCCACTTACAAAGTCTGCCATGTAAATAGCAAATGTGCTATGGCGCGACGCAACTGACTCTTAAAGGGAATGGGAGATGAGAGTCTGATTGGTTATTTACTCTGATAGGCCGCATTGTGACGGGTGTATGATAGGGCCCTTAGATTTCACGTCTAGATCGTTAAAATAGAGCCCTTTATCTTCAATTGTATGTAAATGTATACATCTTATATGTCTTTATACTGTATATACCTTGGGGATATAAGTAGTGTCACACATCCCATATGTGAGGAAAGATTTGGCTTTGGGAGGTATGGCGTATGAAGGAATCACTGCTAGCCCTGTCATCAAAATACCCGCATCATGTTGGCGTAGTTTAGACGTATAATAGAATCGCAGACCTGAGCTATCAACTCGACCTGGGAGGAGAAAAGATACAGCAGTGTTTTATTATTACAAACACCTTAAAAACATTAAATCCTGTGTGAAATGTAACATCTCAAAGCACTACTGGCTGACCTGCAGTTTTATTGACATTGTTGTAATGCACCTCAAGCCTGTAGAAAAAGTCGCCAACATTTCCTCCAATCGGAAGTCCTGCCACTTCAGGGAATTCAAAATCCTTCAAATACATGCAATTGAAAAGGTTATTACTATTTTTAAGAATGTAAAATCAGTTTAATCAGTAAATTTTCCTCATTTAGAAATAGTGAAGATGAGGATGTTTGTGGAGTAAGAAGTTACTTCTTTCTATTGTACAATAAAGGCTTAGTTTAGGTTTGGAAATAATACTAATGTCTATGGTAACATTGAAAACTGTGGAGTAGAGCTGAATAATATATCATTTGAGCATTTATATCACAATGTGTGTATGTGCAATAGTTAAATCGCATGATTATATTATTTATTAAAAGCTAAAGATACATTTTTTCATGACCATGCTATTTTACATCCAACTGTTCAAGCTCTGTACTTGAATACTGTTCGACTCACCAAAAAATCATGCGGGAGAAAATCCGAAGCACTGTCGGATTTATATATGCTTGTAATTTCTTATATTTTATGCAGATGGACTGCATAGAAAAAGACTCTCAGTCGATCTAAATAAATGAAATCTTTCCAAATTTAATCTGTTGAAATTATATTCAATTTATTGCAGAATAACAAAATATTGTAATATCAGATTTTTCCAATATCATGCAGCCCTACTGTAGAGTGACTGTATAATCTATGATATATTCAACTTTATCAAAGAAAAAAATGAATTGTGGGGTATGCTCAGCTTGAGAATTCAGTTCTTTAAGGTTAGGGCTGTGCAATATGACAAAACATATAATATGGACAAAATAAAAGTCTCTTATTTCATATTATGCTCTATTGTTTATTTGCAGTGTCATAAAAAAACATTGATTATGGTCTTTTGGATGACCGCAATCTTACATCTATGGTGTATGTAAAATAAACCATGGATGTAAGTTTGAAAGCAATGCAAAAACTTGCATTTTTTTGCATTGCAAGCAAAACTTGAAAGCAATGTTTACATTTTGTTTTCTTTTTTTGCGGTATTTTATGTTGTGCCTGTAGTCAGTAATTTTTGAAAATTATTTTATATTTGATTAACATTTATTTTATATTTCTCCACTTTTTAATCAAACAGTTGCTTTGATGTTCCATCTTTTAATTACATTTGAATAAGTACAGCCAAATCACCCTTCAGCACAAGACTGGTTACTCACTGAAGCTAAGCAGGGCTGAGCCTGGTCAGTACCTAGATGGGAGACCACATGGGAAAACTAGGTTGCTGTTGGAAGTGGTGTTAGAGAGGCCAGCAGGGGGCGCTCAACCTGCAGTCTGTGTCAGTCCTAATGCCCCTGTATAGTGAAGGGAACACTATACTATCAGTGAGCGCCGTCTTTCAGATGAGATGTTAAACCGAGGTCCTGACTCTTCGAGATCATTAAAAATCCCATGGCACTTCTCTTAAAGAGTAGGGGTGTAACCCCGGTGTCCTGGCTGAATTCCCCTTATAGGCCCATATCGATCATGGCCTCCCAAACATCCCCATCCACCGAATTGGCTGTATCACTCTCTCTCCACTCCCTCAATAGCTGGTGTGTGGTGAGAGATGCAATTCCATGTGAGCTATATGTAAACTATTATTGATTGAATTTACAGAAATGGTACTACAGTATATCCATATAGCCCAGTGGTTAGTGTAATGACATATAGAGTAGGTGTTCTGAGTTCGAATCCTGACTCGTGGACCATTCCCGATCCAATCCCCCTCTATCTCCCACTTCACTTCCTGTCATCCAACTATCCTGTCAAATAAAGGCAAAATGCCAAAAATAAAAGGCTAAAATTTTTTTTTTTAAATGATACTAGCTTTACATAATCTAGCTGTTTATCTAACCAAAGATCTGTCTCACTACAATCCAACCCGCTCTTTAATCTCTCAAAATTCAGTGCTTCTGGTAGTACCCAGAATAGCCAAGTCCATAAAAGGAGGCAGAGCCTTCTCATTTATGGTTCCTAAACTCTGTAATAGCCTTCCTGATAATGTCTAAATACACAAATACACTTCATTAAATATACACACATAGACATCACCTATATGCTATAAAACTGCAGGTTTTATATAATAAAATTGCATGTTTACAAATAAACATGTCATGGTTTTGCCAAACACAATGCAATCCTGGATTAACATCTATGTTGAACCTGGAACAGCTTTTTTTGTTATCTATGTAATCCATACCTATTCCCTACCCCTAAACCCAACCATAACTGTAAATGATTTCCAAAATCAGAGGGGAATAATAGTTGGATAGACGTGCATAAACCTAACCGTAAGCTTAAACTTAACATAAACTGTAAATGTACCCCTAATTCTGATTGGCTGCTTGAAATTGTGTTTTAGGATCAACATAGATGTTAATCCAGGAACATGTCCTACTAGGTGAAATCAGGTTGGCATATATAAATATATATATATATATATATATATATATATATATATATATATATATATATATATATATATATATATATATATATATATATATATATAATGACAATATTTGATTGTAATGCATAATGTGCTCCTTTTGTAAAGCTGCTTTGAAACAATTAAAACTGTAAAAAGCGCTATAGAAATAAACTTAAATTGAATTGGAATATATATATATATATATATATATATATATATATATATATATATATATAGAATCAGAATATTGTCAACTAATATTGTGATATGAGATTTTATGTCATATTGCCCAGCCTTATTAAAAGGTATAAGTAACTCTGCATGAAATAGTATTAGACCCTCTTTAAATTTGGATGTTTAAAACCCCATTCACAGAAAATACGAACCCCTCCGCCAACTCCCCACACTGCAATTGTCTCCATACACCGTTCAGTTTTCGTGTAACACTCCAGCTCCAATGGCTCCGTCACTGTCGGCGGGCAGCGGTACAGCAGCAGATGATGCACTAGGTCATAGTTGGTGATTACCGGCTCAATCTGGAGATTAGAAAAGTAAGATCTGATGAAAATATGTGGCAGATGGGTGGATGAATAAACTGTGAGAAGCTCGTAGACTCACCCGATAAATGTGCTGTTTGCTGTCGAATGTAGGTGCTCTTGCAGTTTTGCAGTGGTAGTAGGTTTGGTTGGCTGGTAGCATAAACTGGAATGAAGCAAGTATCTTAAAGGTCCCGTTAAATTAAAATAAAGTCTTTTAGATGTTAATATCAGTGTTGTTTGTTTTTAGGATATCTATAAGCTAGTGTGCTCCAAAACACTGATTAAATTTGCAGTTGGAAGATGTAAAACTGAAAAGCTTGTAGTTTGTCACCTCTGCCTAAATGGATCAGCTTTTTTATTCACATCACCTCATATTTCAATCTTGACACTTTTCATTTGATGCGATTGATCTCAACCACTCTCACTGGCAAAGCAAAACGCTATTGGATGCTTTTTGTTTTTAAAGGGAAGGGGCTACACTATGTCCCACCCTCTTGTTTTGTTTCGGGTAAAATTAAAGCAAACATCAAAAAAAAAATGTGCATCTCAAACCACTTTTAAGATAAAAAAAAGTGAAATTGCACACTTACAAGCACCAATCAAATTATTAACCAATAAACGGATCTACTTCTTATACACAAAAAACAAACATTTTAAAGTTTCAGAAATGTCGTTTTTTTTAACGTTACATTCTAATATGCGCTCTAACATTCATTGATTTTCCAAAATTTTAGAGGTCAACACAGCTGAAAAGACTACCAACTATTTCAGCATATGTTTTACAAAGCGGATGCCCGTCCAGCTGCAACCCAGTACTGGAAAACACACATACACACTTCACACTCATACACTACGGACAATTCTGTTTATTCAATTAAGCTTTTGCACATGTCTTTGGACAATGGAGAAAACTGGAGCATCCGGTGGAAACCCACACCAACATGAAGAGAACATGCAAACTCCTCACAGAAATGCCAACTGGCACAGCCTGGACTTGATCCAGCAACTTTCTTGCTGTGAGGTGACAGTGCTAACCACTGAGCCACCATGTCACTGCTCTAATATGCTCTAATCTAAATAATGGACTAATTTCTTCTTGATAATATGATGTTTTGTCATTTTCTTCATCAAGTAAAGGCAGGAAGTTTTAAAAGTTGGTCTCAAAATTTCAGCAACAGAAATATTAATATTAAGAGAAGAATTCAATGAATTTAGTTGGCAAACAAATGTTTGCCGATACAGCTAACCAATAAATAGAAGAATAAATAAAAATCTTTTATGAATATTGTAATTATAATATGAAATTCTGTGTGGAGAACTGCCAAATGAAAATGGAGCACGTTCTCGATGTGTTGCCATGGGTTTCCTCTAGATGCTCCGATTTCCCCCACAGTCCTAAGACATGTGGTTCAGGTGAATTGGGTAAACAAAATATGGCCGTAGTGTGTGAATGCGAGAGAGTGTGCAGCTGAAAGGGCATCCGCTGTGTAAAACACATGCTGGATAAGTTGCCTGTTCATCCCATCGTGTGACTCCTGATAAATAAGGGTTAGTTAGCTGAAGAAAAATGGGTGAATAAATAATATGAAATTGTCAGAGCCTGATAGCAATGCAGTGGACATCTGATTTCCACTGCAAAAAACAAGTAAAATTCAAGGCTATAAATCATCTTTTCGCTAAATATTAATCAAATTCCAAGTTTGAAATGATACGGCCACCAACCTATTGTACGTCCATAGATAAAACAAGAAAAGCAACAAATATTTTTTTTAAATAATATTAATTTGACTTACATTTTCCATAGTTATGTCAAAATATGTGGCGTTTGAAAGGCTGGCGCGAGGCATGTACTTCAACAGGTTCACCTCCTTTGTGCCCCTTTGGGCCTTATGGTATGAGATGTCATCAGTCTCTCCATATGCGTAAATCAGCTTCATCGGAAGAATCTGATAATGCAAAAAAATACTTTTACTGGATTTCTAAATGAACAACGAGATGCACTTTGTCCACACACTACAGTTAAAAGGGATAGTTCACTCTAAAATGAAAATGTACTTACTATTTACTTTTTTACTATGTACTATTTACCCTCAAGAGTTTTCTTATTCTATTGAGCACAAAAAAAGATATTTTGAAGCAAGATGAAAACCTGTAACCATCGACTTCCATAGACGGAAAACTAAATAAAAATGGAAGTCAATGGTTACAGGTTTTTAGCTTTCTTTAAAATATCCTATTTTATGTTCAATAGAAGAAAGACAAACATGTTTGGAAAAAACAAAGGATTACATAATCAAATTCCACAAATGAAGTGTAATGAAATGTGATCAGAGTAAATTACATATTAATAAACACTCAATCAGACTACATGTAAACATGACATATTTAGATAATTTCAGTAAGTTGTTCACAATTCATTGATTGCACCAAATTCTCCTGGTTTGGTGTGGGTTTCCTCTGGCTGCTCTGGTTTCCCCCACAGTCCAAAACATGTAGTGCAAGTGAATTGAATAAAGTAAATTGGCCTTAGTGTATGAGTGTGTTTGTGTGAATTGAAGAGTGTTTGAATGTTTTCCAATACTGGGTTGTGGCTTGAAGTGCATCTACTGCAAAATGAATTAATAATCTGAAATACGTTACTTGGGATATGTTTTGTTGTATGTTTCAGATACACCTCGCTCTACGCTTCATGTTTATGAGAAGGTGGGGCTTGTCGTACAGATCACCTAGCGATTGACTGACTTAAACCCAACCAATAGGAAATGCAAGAGAAAATTGCATCATGGCCATGTTGTTTTATCATGATTTTACATTCATTCATTCATTTTCTTTTTGGATAAGTCCCTTTATTAACCAGGGGCTGCCACAGCGGAATGAACCGCCAACTTATTCAGCATATGTTTTACGCAGAGAATGCCCTTCCAGCCACAACCCATCACTGGGAAACATCCACACACACTCATTCACACACACACTCATACACTATGGTCAATTTTAGCATACCCAATTCACCTGTACCACACGTCTTTGGACTGTGGGGGAAACCAGAGCACCCGGAGGAAACCCATGCAAACACGGGGAGAACATGCAAACTCCACACAGAAACGCCAACTGACCCAGCCGAGGCTCGAATCACTAACCTTCTTGCTGTGAGGTGAATGTCATAATCGCTGAGCCACTGCGTCACCCCTGATTTTACATTGCCTTTACTGTTTTTGTTTTGTTTTGTTTTTTTTACATTGCTTTTGAAGTTTTGTGCTAAACCAGACTCAAACTCTGGCACTCTGAATCACAAGTAAAGCATTGTACAAGGTAAGCTACTGAGCAAACTGACCACGCCAGAAAAGTTGTCCATATGCAGATAAACAGGTAGTGAGGCAAACATAATTGATTACAAATCATAAACACCATTAAGTTGTTTTCTGTTTTTTTTTTTGTTTTTTTTGCAAAGAACTGCACAAAAATAATCAATAATACTGTATGTCCCAGTAAATATCATTAATGTGAAAAGGAACAGAATTTGTTGCTCGCTAGTAGTGGTGTAACTGATCACAAAGCTCAAAGTTTGGTTCACATTATGTTTTTTTTAGTCACGAATTTTATTAAAAATAAAATAAAGAAATAATCAGCTAAATAAAACTGTTACTACTACTGTTGCTGATAAAGCTAAATGTAGGAATCTAACATTATAATTTGTACAACCTATATTTAGTTTTGGTCTTATTTTCAATAAATTATTTAGTTATTCACTTATAAAACTTCATGCTTCATTGCTAGATGTGTCATTTTTAAAGAATTATTCAGTGGCATATTTGTGATGTCTGGTTGTCGCCACCTATTGATTAAATCATGTAATTGCTGCCTACAACTTTCATTTTTTAGTGTTGTTAAATGCATATGACTGTGATTGTGATCTGTACCATAAACATGAGGGGTTTTATCTAAACTATAAACTGTTATCCTAGTACTTGTGTGTTATTTGACTGTTTGTAATCTCATAACTAACTCAAAAGACTAAAGACTTAATTTCTTTTCCTGGATTTTTGTGTCTTTCAAACATAGATTTAAATGCAGGATTAGATTCGAAGGATTAATAAACATATGCAAATCACCATCATTTATGATTTATGTTGCGTGGGTGTTGAGATCCCGATCTTTTAATGATTATTTTGGTTACACTGAATGCATTAATGCAGGCTAAACAAGTGGTGACAGAAAACACCTTTAATAATGAGAGGCGATTTCTCTGAAATCAATACAAATTTAGTGAAGTAAAAAAGTAAAGTGATCCGTATGTATTTACTCAAAAATTGCAGTCAAATGGATGTTGAAGTGCCTTTTTTTAGTCTCACAAAAATGTAAGCTGAAGCAGGTATTTCAAACAAACCTGTTTGAAAAAGGTCATTTATAACTGGTTACAATTCATACTGTAAGTAATCTAGCCAGCTCTGCTAATGCTAACACATAGCTATGTTTTGATTTAAAATTCAAGTAGATTTAGAGTTCAGGAGAATTTCTCAAGTACAGTCGAGAGCCCTTGACAAAAGAACAAGCAGTTTGTTCTCAGAAACACCCCCTGATCCCGCTGGACAAGCACAGAGTAGATTCCCTTACATTGCAGGTTTTGTTTTGTAATGTCATAGTTTCACCATCATTGTTTTCTGGATACAGCGGCATAGTATATCTTACAGTGAAATGAGGAGGAGGGTTACGCAGCTAGTGTTCTTGAACTACTTTTCTTTGTAAGGAATATAACAAATGCATTCTATTGTTAAACAGGCTTACGGTGACGGGTAAATCATTTTCATCACAGGATTCAATGGACCGCTGGAATTTCATGACTGTTTTCCCATCAGACTCGCTTAGGGACAAGAGTTTGTAGTTTTGTTTCTGGTCGACCACAGGCATTGAATTTCCCAAGGCATGGCGGTCCTGTATAAAGAGAAAAGAAGGATGAATGGGCACACATAATAGGTCTTTTTTATGATTGCGTTTATGTACATTTTCCCCAATCACCTCTCTCGATAGGTCAAAACACTTACAATGACCAACATTTGGAAATATTTTAGGACACATAGTGTGAAAACAAATAAAACTGAATACAATTTATTAGACTTAAAAGGGACGGTTCACTCAAAAATGAAAATTACCTCATCATTTGCTCTCCCTCATGTGGTTTTATGAGTTTCTTTTTTCTGTTGAACACAAAAGAAGATATTTTGAAGAATGCTAGTTGCTAAAACCAATTGACTTTCATAGTTGGAAAAACATACTATGGATGTCAATGTGTCCCAGCTAGCAGCATTTACAATATCCTCATTTGTGTTCAACAGGAAAAAAACAAAGAGTTTTGAAACACCACTGAGGAAGATAAATATATGTTCATAACATAAAATGTTATATTTAATGAAGTATATCAAATACATATCACCAACCCAGGCTCATTCTGAAATGTACCCCTATACACTGTACATTTCTGCAGAGCACCAAATATTTCCCAGAACGTACTTTTTTTCACAGTTTTTGTTTTCATGAATCCATCAGAGGCCACTGTGTATGCTTTTAAGATCTCAAATTTCTCTCGCGAATCCCATTCGCACCTGCTTTTCTTGCGTAAATCTACCAGAGGATGCTGTCAGCTGACTGATCCACCTTGCTTCTTTCCTAAACCCAACCAAGTGTGTTTTCAAAACCACAGATTTACCTGCCTACCCACTTCCCTAAACCAAACCGACAGTGTTTTCAAAAGCAATCCAGAAAAAGAAAAGCTTGATTTTTACCACGTTTTCAGACCTTACTACGTTCTAGTGCTGTTATTTACTTGTTTATTTTATTTTTTAGCTTTTATTTTTTGTTTTAACTGCTTTCTTGAAGCCTTCTTCACCGGACTTGAACCCTGTTGTCGCAGTCAACTCTGCTCCACACCACACATCCGCCGACAAATGCGGTGAGCCACTGGACAAGCTGTTAACAGCGGAAAAGCCGTCCATACGGAGTTAAGCAGCTGATAAGTGTGAAAAGGAACGTGGTCATACCACCCCGTAACGTTTGTTTTAAAGACGAAATGTAGCCATACTGCCTACATAATTAACGATCTCCAGAAATGTATATAGGGCTACGTTTTCAGAATGAGACTGTTACATATCACAATTATATGTGCACTTCCAAATACAGTGAGTGCTTTCTAAAATAATTCAGACTGTTTCTTGACAGTGATTCATCATAATGCCTGTTAAGTAGCGTGCAGATAAGGATAACCTTCTATTAAAGGAGGTCTCCTGGAGTCTCCTTTCCTGCTCTCCAAGCACATACTTGAAGACTTATTTGTGAAATGTAAATATTTTTACCTGAATTGACATGACTATCATATGAATGGAAAATGTTGATATTTTTGTAGGCATGTTGCTCATTAACACTTTACAAAAGAGCTTCATTTGTTAACATTTAACTAAACTAGCTATGAAAACTACTTGTGTAGTTCATAGTTACTTAGTTTACTTGTGAAAACATTTGTAAAAGCATAATTATTCAGTTTTACCTAATTAATTTCAGTAATATTATTGACTAATATGAAAATGTTCATATGGTTTGTTTACAGTACAGCAAGTAAAGTAATATTTTAGCTGTCTTTTAGTAGATATATTGTGTAAGAGACTTGCTTTGTTTATCAAATAAGTGGATCTAATTGGATTTGCATTGTAAATATTAAATAAAAGTTAATAGGGTATTATTTTTTATTTCATATATTAGGTTTTTAGGTATGGTGCTCCTAAAAATCCTTCCGCTTAAGTCCACAGATTTGTTTTTCAAAATTCTCCACAAAAATAGCACAAAAAAAATGTCTGCAGATTCTGTCAGTTTTGTAAGTAACACATTTAGTTGCTTTTTTAACAGTGACATAAGATTGTAATATATTACTTTGAAAACTAACTTTACCCAACATTGAAAGTAAGTAAATGCAGTAATCCTTTTGTACCTTTAAGTATTGTGATAATATTGGTCAAAAAAAGCTTATACCAAAAAAAATTATAAATACCATTAAACTGTATGTGTAATCACTATGAATCAGGAATATAAAGTACAAAAAATTATGTAAAAGTAGATTTATAGAGCCTGTAAGTGACTTATTGGATCAGTATTTAATTAGGTTTCAATTGGGTTTCATTAGTTAGTTTCATTAGAACACATTAGTTAGTGTTAATATATTTACTAACAGGAACAATATCTGTACAGCATTTATTAATCATACAATGTAAAAAAATACGTATATAAAAAGTTAAATTTACTGTAAAATAACGCCATTAAATTTCAGAAATTTACCGTAAAAATAACGGCCATTAAATTACAGACATTTACCATGAAATAACAAACGTTAAATTAAAGAAATTTAACAGAATCTTAAATTTAAGAAAATTTCTGTTCTAACGGCTGTTATTTAACGGTAAATTGAACAGCTGTTATTTTAGGTTTGTTTTTTTCGGCACCCCAGCTTTTGTACAGTAGTTCAACATTTACTAATGCATTATTAACATCCAAATTCATGCAGTGTAGTCATTAAGTTAATAAAGCCTGAGTTTAAATGAATTAACAATGAACAGCATTAACTAGTATTAATAAAGATGTAGAAATACTGAAATATTGTTCGTTTATGTTAGAAAAAAATACTAGTGCTGAGAAAAATTATCGTGATTAATCACAAGTAAAAGTTTGTTTTGACATACACTACCGGTCAAAAGTTTGGGATCCGTAGGATTCTTAAATGTTTTAAAATAAGCTTCTCCTGGTCACCAAGGCTGCATTTATTTAATCAAAAATACAGTTCAAAGTGTAAAATTGGGAAATGTTTTTGCACTATAAAATAAGTGATCAAAAGTGGCTTATCGTTTAATTAAATCATTTATTCCGGTGATTTTAAAGATGATATTTCTGTTTCATTACTAAAGTCTTAGTGAGTCACGTGATCCTTCAGAAATCACTCTAATATTAATGATTATTGTTGTTGTTGTTGTTATTATTATTATTATTAATATTATTATTAATATTAATATTATCATTATTAATGGTAATAGCAATAAAAGTAATAATAACTGGAGTAATAATTTAATTTGAAACTTCATACAATAAATATTAAATAAATGTTTTATAAATACGTTTTTAACAATTTTTTTTTACAATAATTTTAATAAATGCCGCCTTGATGAACAGAATACTTTTCTTTAAAAAGAAAACATGAAAAAAAAAACTGGCCTTAAGCTTTTGACTGGTGGTGTAATTTAAGTATGTATACTGTGTATATTTATTATGCATATAAAAATACACACAGACATGCACATATTTGAGAAAATATTTAGATATAAAATATATGTATTTGATACAAATTTATATATAAATTAAAATGATCTGTCACATTTTTTGTGTAGTTTGAGGTTTAACAAAGACATGAAATTTTCACAGTATGTCTGATAATATTTTTTTCCTCTGGAGAAAGTCTTATTTGTTTTATTTCGGCTAGAATAAAAGCAGTTAAAAAAATTTATACACCATTTTAACAACAAAATTATTATCCCCTTTACAATAGCAGATTTGGGAAACGGCAAATCAACAAACTATGTTTGTAACGACGGAACTTGCGACCTTAGGTGGCTAACGATGGTTTTGGAAAACACACCCCTGCCTAGTTAACCCAATTAACCTAGTTAAGCCTTTAAATGTCACTTTAAGCTGTATAGAAGTGTCTTGAAAAATATCTAGAAAAATATTATGTACTGTCATCATGGCAAAGAAGGCGAAATTGAGGGGAAAAAATAAACAGGGAGGCTAATAATTCTGACTTCAATTGTATGTGTGTGTATAACATATACATAATAAATAGATCTATAAAACACATATATATTATATCAAAACAAACTTTTATTTTGGATGTGAGTAATCGCGATTTATCTTTGCCCAGCACCGTACTCAAAAAAAAAGATTCATTTGATTAACTAAATTTTTTTAAGGTAAGTGGTTGCAAACAATGTGTATGGGCAGAATTTAAACAAAATAATTAAATTAAGAAATGTCCAACCTAATTTCTTTTTTTGAATTTAGCCAATGTAAATTGTTTCGTTTCAACCACTTACCTTAAAGAAATTTAGTAAATCCAATTAATATTTTTTTTCAGTGTAAATACATTAACATTAACCAATACAACCTTATTGTAAAATGTTACTGATACTGACTGAAAGACTAATAATGTAAGTTAGATGTATGCTCACTGATCTAAAATCTAAAATCAGTGCCTTATTTAAAGTTTTTAGTCTTTACCGTGAAGTAAGTGCCTTTGTTGTCAACTCCTCCAATGACTATATCAGCTCCAGTCATTCCTCCATTAGGGCTCAAGCCGAAACTGATCCAGCCGCTGGTGTTGACAGAGAGCTGGAATAAGATGGTGCCCTGGATCTTATCAAATCCCCACTTCAGCTGCACATTGTGCTCAAGGTCCAAGTGTTCAGAGAAAGGCAGAAGAGGGTCTTCCTGAGCCCAGAACTGCTGGACGGAAAGCAAAAACAGGACGAGAGACAAAACACTCATGTTACCTTTTAAACAGGTGCCCATGAAAACTGCTGTGCGGTGTCTTTATCAGCTCTGTTTATACTGTAAGGCGTCTGTAGCCTGCTCACCTGAATCACAATTCTCCTCCTCTTTAGCTTCAAGTTACCTGAAAACAACAAGAGAGCTTGTGGTCTGCTAACTTTCAAGTTCTTTAGAAATTAAGAACATTATATACTAGATGTGACTCTTTGTTGAATTAATGGTTACTTTGGAAGCAGACAGAATTGCGGTGCTTACAGTAGCATTTGATGATGTGGCAGAGATTTATTACTTAGCCATTTATTGGTGATGTTACGAAACTTAAAGCAAATATATCTGCTGTTGTCATTTCAGTAATCTCAGATCAAAGCAAATGAGCAACAGTTGAGAAGAGATTTATGCCATATAGAGCATATGAAAAGCTGATCAAAAAATGTATGCTGAATAGAAAGAAATCTTTAAAGAGTTTAACTGTGTGTGAGAGAAAGAGAGAGTGTATGTGTGTAATTTCTGATAACTACAGCAGACAATTTAAAGCTTTAACTCAAATAAAACAGGACTATACATAAAAAAGTAAATTTATTTTCAGTTATGCTTTTTTTAAAACTTATTTCCACTAACTTTTCATTAGAGACAAAAATTGCCTTCAAAACATAGTCAAGACTTGCTCCAAAATTATTGGTTTGCCTCTGCGGAGGTCAGTAGAGTTACATCAACAGCAAATGATGACCCTGCAGTCCAAGACCAAATACTCACTGAAGCTAAACAGGCCTTAGCCAGGTCAGGACCTGGATGGGAGACCACATGGAAAAACTAGCTTGCTGTTGGAAGTGGTGTTTCGGGCGCTCAACCTGCAGTCTGTGTGAGTCCTAATGCCCCAGTAAAAGTGAAGGGGACACTATATTGTCAGTGGGTCCCTTCTTTCAGATGAGACAACCTGACACTCTGTGGTGTAAAGAGTAAGGGTGTTTACACTTCATGTAAAGAGTAAGGGTGTAACCTGGTCCTGGCCAAATTCCCTCTCGGCCCTTAACCATCATGGCCTCCCAATCATCCCCATCCACCGAATTGGCTGTGTTACTGTCTTTAAACTCCACCTATAGCTGGTTTTTGGCTAGTGCACTGGCACCATTGTCCTGTGGCTGCCGTCACATCATCCAAGTGGCTGCTGCACACTGGTGGAGGTGTGGAGAGGCCCCCCTCATGATTGTTAAGCGCTTTGGGTGTATGGCCATACACAATACATGTGCTATATAAATAAACTTTACATTACATTACAAATGATAACGACAACTTAATGTGTGTTAGGAGATGATTCCCATCGTCTAAAGCCTTTTTTTGTATTGTTGCCCTCTTGAAGAAGGTTTAGAAGCATTAAATGCTGATGAGTTATATTGTAACAGATATAAATTCTCCTTTGTTCCTGAGGCAATAAGGCTATATGTGCTTATATTTGAGCAAGTTTTACATTTTTAATATACGGGTCCTTCCTATGGGTTATTTATTTATTTTAGTACTACCTATGATGTTATTATGAAACATGCTGGATAGTGTTTTTTTATATTGTTTGTTGTATCATAATGCCACTGCCATAATTTAATTGCCCCTGGTGGAATTAATAAAGTTGTTAAACTTAACCCAATACTTGACAAGTACATATTTACATTTTTATTTACTTGATGCATTAAAGAAAATCATGCATTCATTCATTTATTCATTCATTCAATTATTCATTCATTCATTTATTCATTCATTCAATTATTAATTCATTTATTCATTCATTTATTCATTCATTCTCTTTTTGGCTTCAGTCCCTTTGTTAATCAGGGGTCGCCACAGTGGAATGAACCACCAACATTTTCAGCATGTTTTTCAGCAAAAAAATTAACGTTAAAGTCAGGGGCGTTGCGTTCGTCTGACAGGTCCATTTGCGATAGCACCCTTCCAATGCGGAGGGGATAAGATGAAATGGCTATCTCATTGAAACTCTAAGTGATTTTACAAGAGAAAAGTTAAAGGCCTACAAGTCTTTGGATGCCAACAATTTTGTTCGGTGTGGTCATGTGCAAGAAATAATGCTTCATGATTACCAGATTCAACACTATGTAGTGCCAAAATCCGATGTTCTGCCTAGCCAAAGACAAGGAAAGAAGACAGAACTGTACAAGGCCTATAACTAATCATCAACTAACAGAACAACTGCATTCTGACAGCAAACTGCATCTGTACGGCAGGGTATGTGAACTTACATTTTTACATTTCATTCTAAGCATTCAGTGTCTGCAGTTTATTATACTCATATTTAACTGTCTTTGCTGAAATCATTGCTGCAATCAAAAATGAGTAACGTGTATATGATTCAGCATAGCGTGAACTTACCTGATATGAAATGAGAACTGCAGAGTCGAGCATTTTTAATTAGGTCCTCACTCCATTCAGCTCTTCTGATGGCTGTTAGACAAAGACATCTGCGGTTGGCATTTAAAGCAGTGTGGTGTACAATAAAATTTAGGTTTTCTATTCCTCGCTTTTGGCATCCTATCACATAACATGACATGTTTGCTATTGCAACCAGTTTGCGCGGTTGAACCCATGTGACGTCATGTGTGACGTACTGTAGGTTGGTAATTCCCCTATAGTATTTACTATTTTACTTTAGTATTTTTCAAGTTGGTCTTGTTAAATAAAAAGTAACATTTCCCTTACTGTGGTCTTTTGAGACTAAATATATATATTACATATATACACTTATAATACAAATCAAGCATACTTACTTTGCTAGGAGTTGGTAAGTCCATCCACTTTGTTTGATAGCTCTTGGTAGCTCTACATGTGTGCGAATGTGCTATTGGACATAAAGTGCAAATAAAAAAAATACCAGATATCAGCCGGCCGGTCTATCTCATGAACACTTTATCATAGTAATTATGAAACAAACAGCAATACTATTTATACTTAAATACACTTATTTATATTAAACAACATACTTAGCTGCACATATAACGTTGTACATATTAATTGTACATATACTTGTCAATTTGTATATGCATTCACTATTTACTTCTATTTCTTAAATATATTTATCTGTTTTTGTCCTGTCTCTGTCATTCTGTTGCACTGTAGAAGCTCTGTCACGAAAACAAATTCATCGTATGTGTGAATACCAGGCATTAAAGCTCTTTCTGATTCTATAAGCACATATAAATCAAATATGTTGAAAATAAACCATTTGGAATAATTACAAATCCACCCAGGTACAACAATTTGGTTTTATCAAAGGTGGTTTGAAAATATAAATGTATAAAAACACCTGACATGTTAAAAAATCTCGCTTCATTTGTTAAAACCGACGTGAAACGTGATTGGACCACCATAGAAACCACGTGACAACTCGACTTTCTTTGTTTTTTTATTTTGTTGTTTAAGCAGAATGTTGATGTATATACTGCGATTTTAAGAAGGTTTAGGTAAGTACATTTAATATAATTATATTTTATAATAATTTATTATATGACAATATTTCTTTGTTTTTACTCTGCATGCATTTCAGCTTGTTCTTGGAGATCCCCCCCAAAAAACAGGCAATTTTATAATGCATAATAGGGGGTCTTTAATCAATTATTTATTTATTTATTTATTTATTTATTTTTGAAAAATAGAGAATTTGGGACCATTGACAAAGTCATCCATGTACAGGTCTAACAAAAATTTGCTTCTACAAGAGATGTTTAAATACATATAAAATCACCTCACACCACGAGACAACGCTGCTGGCGCCATTTTATTTTGTGTTATTTATTGATTTTCTTTAAACAGAATGCTGATTTAAGGAGGTTTAGCTAAGTACATTTAAAAATAATAACGTTTTATTTTTTAAAGCTACTCTTGTCCTCTAGAGGCCGCTCTAAACTCAAACATCTGTCATGTTAGCCCGCCCCTCTCTGTTTGAACTTGACAAAAGTTGAAAAAAGCTGACACAATCATAATCTAAAATACTCAAAAACTTGCAGAATAAAAAAACACTTTGATTTTGTACTACTGTTGTATTTCACCTATGTTTAACTTATGTTAAACATTTATAATGTGGGATAAACGTGTAAGTAGCTATATTGAAAAAATATACTTTTTATATAATACAATGCATGAAACTAATAACAAATCTTAAAGTTTATGTATGTACATATAAATATGCCTTGCGTTAAATTTTCTTTTTCTAATTTTTGTCTTCGTCGTCTGCAAAAACAGCTGTGTGTGTAGTTTTTTTTTTCTTCAGGCGCTCGACTCGAGTTTGTTTCCGGTTGTGTCTCTTATGTGAAGCACACACTCAGCTGCAGTCAAGTTTAGCAGCTCAAGTCTGCTGAAAACGACGAGTTTGGATTTACACAAGTTAATAAGGCCCTACATTTGATTCTCTGTGTGTAAAAAAAGAAGATAAAGTGTATTAGGCGATGTAAACAAACTAACGTTAGTCCGAAAAGAATCGATTCTGGCAAAAGCGACATGTCTGGATGAAGAAGAGAGAGAGTTTATCGCCAATAAACTGCAGGTTTCTGTAATGACTGGTTAATGTGTGTACAATGGAGTCGAAGGTAAGCACTTATTCGACGTATTTTTAGTTAAAGCGTGTGGCTGATCTGTTTGTAATTTCTTTTTCACTGACGTGTTAAACTGCCAAAGTTATTTTCAAACACACGCCGACATATTTGCTGTTAGTGTTCATAACTGTCACGGACTTCATAACCGAGTCGTTTAACACCCCGACAATGCCCATTTAAGAGTTTATTTTTGTTGTTTTAACGTTGTTTGAAGGCTTTCTGGTAAACGTAGGAAAATATGGATCATTAGGAGTCTTGTGACATTTTTAGTGGGACCCTGACGTCATTTTGCTATGGATTCTGGGATATGTAGTTAAACTGTAAATCATTCACTAACATTAGTTAATCGTAAAACCAAAACACTAACTAAATTGCCAGTGTAAACAAGAGCTTAAACACATCTGA